GCTGTGTAAAATGAGAAAGAGCACTCTGATTGGCTTAAACCAACCAATGAGAGTGTTCTTAGCCTAATTACAGAGCGGGGCAAGGCTTTATAAGCCTTCTCCCGCCCTGCAGAGCTCAGTCTGCATGGAGCCCTCCATGGGTGAAGATGGATTAATTTTTTTAGCGTCAGGTTTTTTCTTTTTCGTCAGTATTTTTTTTTTTACGCTCAGGTTTTTTTTATTTTATTTTAAGTTTGACAGGTATGACGGCTTTTTATTTGGCCTTTTTTGGGGCTGAAAAATGAAGATTTTAGAAAAAAGAAGACGTCAAATGGTAAGTTTAATTTTTGTTTACAGGTTAGTTATTTTATTGGGACCCCTAGTCACCTTGATTGGGGGGGTGAATTTTTATTTAGGGCCCCCACCCGCTGCTCAGGGGTGGGGGACAGGGGGGACAGTAGGTCCCCCCTTATTGTTTTTTAGGGCCCCCACCCACCACTCAGGGGTGGGGGCCATGGGGGTGGACAGTAGGTCCCCCCTTTATTGTTTTTTAGGGCCCCCACCCACCGCTCAGGGGTGGGGGCCAGGGGGGAGGACAGTAGGTCCCCCCGTTATTGTTTTTTAGGGCCCCCACCCACCGCTCAGGGGTGGGGGCCAGGGGGGAGGTCAGTAGGTCCCCCCCCCTTGTTTTTTAGGGCCCCCACCCACCGCTCAGGGGTGGTAGCCAGGGGGGAGGACAGTAGGTCCCCCCCTTATTGTTTTTTAAGGCCCCCACCCACCGCGCAGGGGTGGGGGGTGGACAATAGGTCCCCCCCATTGTGATTTACGGCCCCCACCCACTGCGCAGGGGTGGGGGCCGGGGGAGGGGAGGACAGTAGGCCCCCTCATTGTCAGGGGTGGGGGCCGGGGGGGAGGAGAATAGGTTAGTAGGTTTTTTTTTTTTAACAGTGAGCAGCCACAGGCGGTATAGCGGTATAGCGAGTAGGGGCTGAATTTACTAATACTAAGTAATCTTTATTTATAGTATTAGTAAAGTTGGCTGAAAGACCAATTTAGGTCTTTCAGCCTTTTAGTAGATAACTCCCTAATACCGTGGGAATTCGGGAGTTATCTACTATGCGGCTGCAAGATGCAGCCACAGCACGAATAGGATCGGAGTTTTATTCATTCGAATGAAATTGCGATCCGAACAAAGTTCCGAATTGCATCCTAACATGAATGGAGAAACTGTTCTCATTCTGTTAGTATGCAATTCGGCACTTTTGCCGGCGTTCTGTCTAAGTGACAGGACGTTCGGTAATACTGACAGGAAGCATCGTGGGAACAGGTAGGAAAGGTGAGAATTGTGGGAAAATTGCTCTGACCAGAGGAAATGAAGCACACTTTGCTCCTTCGCTGGTCAGAGCTGGTCAAGCGGAGGAAACCTCCATAAGGCAAAGAGTCCCTACTTTGTCTGATGATTTTAAAGAAAACTAAAGAAGACAGGAAGAAAAGAAGAACAGATCATGAGAGAGGGGGAGAAGAGGAAGAGATTGAGGAAAGGTAAGTTCAGCATGACAGTGCCGCTTTAAATGGACAAACAGAAAGACAGTCAGAGATAGCTTACTCCAGCATTTAAGTGGATGGACAGACAGCTCTCCCTAAGCATAAAAACAGAAGACAAATAGTTTTCAACAAATATTTAAAGACACAAATAGATGGAACCCCCAAACACTTAAAATGACAGACAGTTTCCCCCAAACATTAAACAGACAGACAGATAACTTCCCCAAACATTTAAATAGACAAAGAGACAGACAGCTTTCCCCAACATTTAAATGGATAGAGACAGCTCTCTCCAAACACAAAAAAACAGAAAGACAGATAGTTTTCAACAACCATTTAAATGGACAGACTGACAGACAGATAGATCCCCCAAAACATTTAAAGGAACAGACAGACAGTTTCCCCCATGCATTTAAATAGACAAACAGGTAGCTTACACCAAACATGTAACTTGACAGACCGATAGCTTTCCCCTCACAGTTAATAGACAAACTGGTATGTTCCCCAAACATTTAAATAGACAAAGAGACAGGCAGGTTTCCCCAACATTTAAACAGACAGGCAGATAGACAGAAAGTTAGCTTCCCAAAACATTTAAATAGACAGAAAAACAGGTAGCGTTCTGCAAACATTAAAATAGACAGAATGACAGATAGTTTTCCCCAAACATTTAAATGGACATACAGAAAGACAACATAACTTTCCCCAACATTTAAATGGATAGACAGACAGCTCCTCCCAAGCATAAAAACAGAACAGATAGTTTTCAACAAACATTTAAATAGACAGACAGATCCCTAAAACACTTACAAGAACAGATGGACAGACAGTTTTCCCCAAACATTTAAATAGACAGACAGGTAGCTTTCCCCCCTCAGTTAATAGACACACTCACAGACAAACAGGTAACATTCCCCACATATTTAAATAGACAAAGACACAGATACATTTCCCCAACATTTAAATAGACAAAGAGACAGACAGCTTTCCCCAAACATTAGACAGAATGACAGACAAACTGAGTTTTCCCCAAACATCTAAATGGACATATAGAAAGACAGACAAATGGCTTTCCCCAACACATAAATGAATGGACAGACTGCTCTTCCCAAACATAAAAACAGAAAGATAGCTTTCCCCAACATTTAAATAGACAGAGTAACAGACAAACAGATAGATTTCTCCAACATTTGAATGGATAGACAGACAGCTCTCCCAAGCATAAAAACAGAAATATAGATAGTTTTTAACAATCATTTAAAAAGACAGACAGAGAGATCCTCTCAAACATTTAAAAGGACAGGCAGGCAGACAGCTTTCCCCGAACATTTAAATAGACAGACAGGTGGCGTTCCCCAGATATTTAAATAGACAGTTGCATAAATTGCCCAAACATTCAAAGTGACATACAAAGAGCAAGAGCGTGATATAGATAGAGCAGGTTATATACAGATTGATAGAGTATAGCTAGATCGCCATTTGGGATGCAATAAATGTTATGCTTATTAAGCGGAGAACTTTGTTTAACTCCATTGGAGAAATTCCAGTTGTTTTATCAAGGACGTACAGGTAGCTGTGCAGAATACTATGTCTCCAGTTCTCCAGTTTTGATTGAGGGTTATCAAACTCTATGTCTTGGGTGCACATACAATGTAATGTTTGAGCCGTTAAAGCAGCAGTTACATGTATGACATCACCGTATGACATCACCTATTGTGAGTTCACTGCTGAGGATCACTAGTCATTATATGTCAAGTAGAAGAGCATTCCTATAAACATAAAAATGTAAAAGCATTCTTCACAATTAATACATATGTTATTTAAATCTAAATGTAAATGTAGCAACATTCCAGTTAACAATGGATTTTAAATGCAGTTATTTTTTGCATACAGGCCTTTTATTTAAAACAGTTTTCAACTAACTACTTTTTATTCTGCTGTGTGTGATTACATTTACATTTACATAGCAGGAGATACAAATGTCTATAGAAGCACACTGATTGAAAATGAAACCATTTTTTCATGTAGACTGTCAGTCACAAGCATGGAAGGTGTGGCTAGGGTTGCATACACAGAAACAGAATTGATTTAACCTCCTAAATGGCAGATAATTAAGCAGTGAGACTGTAGGGGCATGATCCATACATCCAAACTGCTTCATTAAGCTCAAGTTGTCTTGGTGCTTAAAGTATCCCTGTAGTGATGTACAGAAGTCCTGGGCATATGTCAGCAGGGGCCTTGCCGCACGAAGTGGCCATTTAACAGCACAACTGAGCCCATGGCTTATCAGCAGCACAGGAGGAAGTGACAGCCAGTCACTTCCTCCTTGGAAGATTGGAGCTGCACGGAAGGGGGGGTCAGGTGGAGAGAGAGACAGGAGGTCAGAGCAGAGGAGAAGCCTGGAGAGGAGGGGGCACAGGTTGCGAGAGCCAGCCCCTAACTCCCAAAAGCTTCAGCATTCAGATTTATCTACTACAATAATTATTCCTCCATCTAGATGTGAAAGAGAATGCACAATTTTGGAGAAATCAATTAACTGTTGCCATTTTTGCATGATACTGATCAGGGCTGGTGAGGTAAATTAGCTTTAATGTGAGGTAAATTAGAGATTAGTGCGACTAATATACTGGATTGCCTACTTACCAACAGATGAGAACAAGAGGATGATGATGGGCTCAGGCTGCAGTCTGGCTCCACTGGTCTGGTGTTAAAACAGGCTCTCTGGAGGCAGTGCTCGCAAAAATAAACAAACAGGAAGCAGCTCCACGGCCAGACTGTGAGTATGCCCACAGGGCCCACCCATGAGTTCGCTCACAGGGAGTGGAGTGTATGTGTGTAGGGGATATGTTAGGGATGTAATGTGTGTGTGTTCTTATGGAATGTAGTGTATAGGAATATCAGTTTGTGTAAGAGATGTAGGGTGTGTGGGTAAGGGATGCATTGTGTGAATCTGTGTTTATATGTGTAAGGGATGCAAGGTGTGTGTAATGTAATGTAGTGTGTGTCTGTAATGGGTGCAATGTAATGCAGGGTGTGTAAGAGATGCATTAAGAGAAGCAGTGTGTATGTGTGTGTATGTGTATGTGTGTAAGGAATGCATTGTGTTTTCTCTGTGCATGTGAGGTATGCATTGTGTGTGTAAGGGAAGCATGGTGTGTTTCTGTGTGAGTGTAGGATGCATTGTATGTTTCGGTGTATAAGTGTATTAAAGAGCGCCACTGTAATATACAGTGTACAAGTATCACAAAGCCAGGAATCGGCATTTGGATCCCCCCTGCGTATTGCCCACTGTAACTTAGTTTTAATTATGACCATTTAGCTTGACTTTATAACAACGCCTAAATAGTTAACAAATATCAACTAATTGTCACTTTGGATGAAATCAAATTGTCTCCCTGAATGTAACTCTCTCCCACCCACCACCTGCAAACAAACAAACAAACAAACAAAAAGACACAATTATTGTAAAACAAAAATTTACAAAATTGTATTTTATTTTTTTTAGAAAAATAAAAATCTTAACAGCAATACAAAAACATTTGTCTGTACAAACTACATAACAATATAGCAAATGTCAGTTGCAGCTTTCACTGAAAGCAAATAGTGTAGACACTGCAGGTACCTTTTAAATATTATCATTATTATACTTATGCAGCACCAATCAGATATACAAAATTATTAACAAATTACTCATACTGTAAGATAAAAAAAATTAAAAAAAGATGTGGCAGAGTAGGTAGCTCTATTGAAAAAAAAATATATAGATATATTAACCCCTCCAGGACCAAGAGGTTAATTTCAAAAGTATAAGGACTCATACAAAACAAAGTAGCATGTTCAACAGACAGGGAGTCATAAAGAGTTGACAACCGGCTTGCATAATTTAGATCGTCCACCCTTACCCCAAAAAACAAAAAAAAAACTATTTTGTCACAAAAAAAAACTTCATCTGAGTTTTTTTTTTCATCTCAGCTATTTTTGAAAGTCCGTTCTAAAGACAACCATTGCTCACTGTTTAGTGAACAGACCCTGAAGTTTCTCTCTTTAAATAAGGAGACTTCCAGTTAGACTAAAATGGTATATCTCTCAACGTACCAGGATTGGGAGATCTAAACAGGATATACACTGCACTTTTCACAGATCTATTGACAACAGACATGTATCTTAAACATGTCTGTGGAATAAGGAAAAACATAGCATGTCACCTACATATGGTTTCAAATTTTCATTGCTTTCAACATAGAAATTTAAAGGATCACTATAGGGTCAGGAACACAAACATGTATTCCTGACTCTATAGTGTTAAAACCACCATCTAGCACCCCTGGGACCTTCATGCCTTCATAAATATAGCAAAATCTCACTGTATTCAAGCCAGAAGCTGTAACACTGCATTCTGTTTGAAGCTTTTTCTTGAAATTTTCCTTTAAAGTCTGTAAAGTTTTTAGCTAACTCCTAAAGACATGCATTGGAAAAGTGTGAGCATACATATATGACATTATTTATAATGCCCTGGTTGAAAATCCAAGAATTCAATTAGCACATTTTACATGAGGCATTATGGGAAGTGTGTTCATGACCATTTACCTTGCTAACTGTCCCACATCAAACCTAAGCATTTAAATATTAATAGATCTACAAATAGTGCATTTGTCAGCTTTGGGAAAAACTTTTGAAAGTGGATGTTGTTTGTCTCTTTGGTTTAGATCTCTGATTTAGCTCTCTAGTTTACGTCTGTCAAGATATATCAAAATGGGGCACACAATAAATTTAAAATATAGTATACTCTACTAATATTGTTTCTGACACATCAAATAAGTGTCTACCTGGTATATTCTCCTGGAAACTGGCCTAATTATGGGTGCTCCTTTAAGTTTGTGCCCCTGAGTAATTCACTACCTGGCCTATACCACAAATTGGGCCTCTTTCTTATTTTTGCTAGATTTTTCACTGTCAAGGTTTATAGATTTTTTTAACATATAAAACCAGATCTGCCATCAACAAGTCAGTTTTGCTTAATAAACAAAATTCTCCTGTGTGGAAAAATGCCTTGCAATTTCCAAATACATAAGTAATAGTTTTTGGAAACGAAGAGACTCAGACTTCTTCAAAAACAGCACAGTCTAAGCATTTCCTGAGTAGTTGGCTTTTGCAAGCTATGACAGGAAATAAAAAAAAAAAAGCAAAGGAAATTGCTTCTCGCTGCTAGAAATATGATTGTAAATTTAGTAAGCAATATTATTTTATTGAATAGTTTACATATAAACCCAAGAACGACAGATTGGGGCTTCGACACTTAGCTGCATATTCCCAACTCATCTATTTAAAATATTTCCTAAAATCTGCAATTATTTTGTTAATTAAACATATTTTATAATAGAAAAAACATGCAAATTTTGTCTTTAGAAAATAGAAGTGTTGGAATAAATTCCTTGTCTTTATTTTTTTTTCTAATTTCCCAAATTTCACTGTCCTGTGCAGATTAAGGGAATGTTAGAAGAAGGAAAAAACTACATATGTAATGTCTTAGGCAAGTACAATTCCATAACTGGTCTTGAGAGGACTTTTGTTGGAGCAAGATTCCCTGGAATCTTAGTGGACACAAAAATGCATTCATGGTGGTTTAACAAAGGACCATGAGATACACAGAAAACTCTCTTCAGCGCTTGCTGTTGTTTTGGAAGGAGTGGGCAACAGAGTATGACACTGAAATTCAGCTTCTTTTAGCTAATGCAAAAGAGCCAAAAGTGCCACCTTCTTATTAGGACCTCTCCTATTCACGTCGCTAGTGTAAACAATAGAAGGTGAGCATGTGTGAGAGAGAGGTGAGAAGGGGAGGCAGATGGGTTGCATGTGTAGATGTCAATCGTACCCCCTTTTTAATCCTTGGCATGTGATATAATACAGTTAATTAATTATTTTGTAAATTAATCTACCCATTTACACTCTATGAGCCATGTAAGACAGCCTATCATATCTTGCTCTGCAATAAGACGTTTTTATTTTTCTTTGGCCCAAAAGGGTAATATTTTGATATGAACATCAAGAAAATCTTGTCTGAGCCACATATCAGGGTGTTACGGCTTTGAAAGAAATACCAGTTAGACGCTTTGATACTCTCAGTGCCAAAAAGCGTAAGAGCATAAGCAAACAATGCATTGTATATAACCCATCTAGCAATCAATGCATTCATTAAAATTATATAATTTAAAATTAACACAAAAAAAACCCAAAACATCATCATAAGAAATGTACACATTTCAAATCCTGGTAAGAAATGAAACAGTGAAAAAATGTCATTGAGTGATTGTAAAGATGGAAACCTCATAACAATGCAACGATCAAGATATTGCTTTTAGCAGATTGTTTTCAATGCAGAGCGAATTTTATATATCAGTGGCGCTGAACCATTGGATCTCCAGATGTTGCAACGATGGAATACTGTTGTAATAAACATTGTGGGAAAAATAGTTAATAGCTGGAGTACTAGAACATCTCCACCACTGATCTGTCTTCTTGAATTATTCAATGTTCATTTCCAACAGTGTATCATAATTGTCTTCCTCTTCTTTTTAATAATCAATAAAAAAAATAAAATGAAAAAAAAGCTGATTTATTGCACATTTTTCCTGGCAAATTCAGGTAAATCTCAAGATGTAAAGCACTCTAAAAAAATTGAATGAAAATGAGTGCATTTCACCCCCAAGTGATTCCACACCACACTCAAACACATCTTGTCCACTTGTGGTATTGTCTCTGCTAACTGGTCAGTTTTAGGTACGTTATCTTGTCAATATCAGGCACAAGATTTCTGGATCCAGCTTTGAAGAAAACAAGCTGTCGACCTGTAAAAAATATGAAATAAAATAAATAAATAAATAAGAAATTTAATACAATGAACAATTTAATGCTGAAAGAAAGAAAAAAATAAAAAATACAAAACTACAAACCTAAAAAAACAAAACACATACGTATCACAACCGTCCAAAAGGAAGTACATTGCCAGCTAGTAGTTTTACTAATATTCAAGTTATAGTAAAGATGTTTTCAATATAGAAGTGTCAATTTAGGGAATTCACCAACTGTTTTAAACGGCTCCTAACTTAAATTCCTCAGTGAGAGGTATTGATTAAAATAAAGGCGATGACATTCTTCAATGTCAGAGTCAAAGAACTTGGATTTCCTAAGATTCTGCTGTTATTAAAATTTAAAGACAAGATGCCCAATATACTCAAGAAAACAAAAAATAAAAGGGATTTGATTATTTTTAACTTTTGCAAATGTGAGTTTAAAAAACAAACAAAAAAAAAACCCTGCTGAAAATAAGCAACAAATCATTGGCTCCGTTATAGTGCAAATAAAATGCATGTGCTGGCAGAGAATCATGGGAGTTTTAGGTCTTCGACAGCTGGAGAGCTAGTTTTTGCCTCTTAGTGCTTTCTAGTTACCCCTGTTATTAAACTCTCAGAAAAAAATCAGTTCTTCTAATAATAAGTCACAGTAAAGGCTTGGCAGTCTGTGGAGTTTCAATTACTTAATCAATCTTTCCACTGCTCACTGCAGACTATCTTTTACCCTGGTGTTGTGTGATTTTCTTCCCTAGATAATTCTGTCTGATGTAATGACTGTTAAAATGGGCACCTTTTCCACACACTGAATTCTGTGCAGCTTCCAACCGAGTGACTTATGCAATGATTTAAAGGAATGCATACCATCTTTTCTACAGATGTTCTACTTTTATTATTTCTTGTAAAAACATTATTTCATTTTTTGTTCACCAAACAGTGAGATTTAGTGATATCACAACTAATTTGCAAATCCAAGGCCCAAATAGACATGTTAAAATAATTTTTTTTTAAATCACTAACACTGTCTTAGGGGTGACTTTTTCAAACTCAGTAATTATTTACCTAAGTTCTTATCTAATCAGAAGTATTTTCCCCAGTGAATAAAGCCATCTGTTATAGTAGGGGCACAGAGCATCTAAAAACCTAAATCATTCCACGTTAACTGAACCTGCCATACACAATGTCATTTTAATGACATCTCCATTACAGTGTAATATATTGGATGTATACAAAGCCCAAATATGTACATTTCTCAAGCATTTGAGTCAAACCTTAAGAAGGACACTTGAATAGGTTCAGAATACGAGCATGCTATTACCTGTCCACGTTGTCTGATTAGTCCAAACAAAAGCTTGGCACTGAGAATGACTTTCACAGATCTTTATAGCTTCATTAATATTAAACACTGAAAGGAGGCATCCATTGTGGTGGTACGATGGCCAACATCTATAGTCTTCTTCAGCGATAGAAATGTCTGCAACTTGCTTGTACTCTGTAATAGATTAACAAAAAAATATTACGTACTGACCACAGACAAAATAAATACATAAAGAATCTTTTATAAGAAACAGGGCGGTAGGGGACCACATTTTTGCATGTTATTTGCCTTTTGAAGTTGCCTCTCTAGGTCTTGCCTAACGTTTCTCAGCAGGTAAATGTCTTCTCCCTACCTAACATTGAAAGATGGTGAGGGGAGATGGCATGCGGTCATTCTTTCTTGCATAACCGGTAAAACAGACAATGGACATTCAATTTGGCACTGTATATCTAAACAGGGTTTTCATCACCTTCTGCACCTGCTTGTTTGGTCACCTTTTGTACGGGTTTGCAGAATATGTTAACGATTTATAAATTATAATAATGTCATCACCCTCTTTTTGATGTAGTATACCGAACAGGAAGTAGGGAAGGACGGGTTACTCACATTGTAAGTAAATGCTCATTATTACCACACTAGACCATAAAGTGCAGATAGATTCAAAGCACCCGGATCCCCAGAAATACACTGGTTCTCCCAACCTCTATTTTATGCCAGTAAGTAACTATTTATATTTAGTTCACAGTAGTGCTCTACATCTTTGAAAAGTAAAATATACAGAATTTATTTTTTAATCCTATCATAATATATGACATAAAGAATTAAAAAAATGAGGGCTTGCATTGTTGTATGTTACCACAGAGAAAGCGTGAGAGAGTGAAAGATCACAAAAGAGGACAATATATATTTAAATACAATACAATAATAGTAATAACAAAAATATTTATAGAAATAATAAATATAAAGTCATATAAAAATGTATTTTTTCAATAAAATAAATGTTACGCAGATTTAGATGTTTAACCTACACATCTTTAGTTTGAGTAAGAAAAACTTTGCTTAACTTTTTAAAACTGCTTATTGTTTAGTTTTGTAACACAATTGTATTCTACATGCCCATCAATTCTGCTGGCTTTACAAATTGGCAACTGCCCAAAGCCTTGCATTTGAGAGGTAGAAATTCCTCAGACACGCATAATAAATTAACATGTGCTGTAAATTAGCCAGAGTGATGACATTTGCACTAGATATCCTAATGCCTGCTAAAATAGCTCATGGGCAAATCAGACTGCAATATGTTTTCACTAGACGATAAGTATGTTCATTACAACACACAATAAAAAAGAAATTAATGAATAAAATCATCTACATGAGACCATTAGGCATATGGAATCCCCTTTCTCTAACAATAGTATACCATTAAAGGGCCACTCCAGTGCAGATTCAATGTCAATCTATGTTGGTTTATAGATGATGTATGACAAAATTAGCATGCAAAAATTGTTCTAATAAAGGGGCAGTTATCGATCTATGAATGTGCCTTTTCTGGCAACTGGTTTTTAGCTTGTGTCTTGTTTACCTACTGTACAGCACGGCTGAAAATGTTGGCGCTATAAAAATAATTGTAATTGGTTGCAACTTTTGCGTTCACGGAAAAAAAACTGAATATTGCTAGGTGCATGTAAATGGATGCAAAAAACTAATTTTCTTTACCTTTGTAAAAAGTATATATTTTTACGAAAATGATAAAATGCAGATCGTGGCTGAAACTTCTTATCTATCAGAAATCAGTGAAAGGGATTTTTGGGAAATAGAGCAGCTAAGAGGTGACTTTCACAGGGTCACACAGGGTTGAAAGCCAGGTTCCTCTTGCAACGTCTATGAAGGTTAACAGTCTGCAGTATAACATGACCTTCAAAAACCCCGAGGAAATCTGGTATTTATTTATTTATTTATTAAAGAAAATGAGCACTAAATACATGTATCCTTTCTGCAAGTTTGTCTCTGTCTTCCAGTGGGAAAAATAATTCATAGGGGTCGGAGCTATGTTTCATGTATGCAAAACCTGTGCATACATCATCACGCACACGAAAAAAATCAGTATGAACTTTTATGCCAGGCTTTATCAGATACTTTTTTCACACTTTAAATTCTAGGAGCGTCCCTTTAATTTTTCTTTTAAAACAAAAATAAATAAATGAATAAATAAATAAATAAATGAAAAATTAAACCAAAGTAGCTTTCCTTGGGCTGCATCACACATTTTATCCATTTCATAAATGCCTCATGATAAAAAAAGTACACGGAATATGTCCGTTTTCTTTCCCCACCCTACGTCTGTGTATTGACTAATATATTACTAGGCAGCTTTGGCCGACATTCAGTCTCTCTTGGCTTTAAAAACCACACTCTTGTTCTCTGTTCGCAAAGCTTCTAAGCCTCACTGAGCTTTCTTTATTACTGAAACCATCAGTAAATTAATCACATTTTAAATATTACAACTTAGTTCATTAATAAACATGCCATTGAAATCTCATAAATCTGCACCATCTTCATGTTTTAATTCCATGATGTATGTTGTATCTAAGAAACACAGCGAGCCCTAAACAAACAATTATATTTAAAATATAGTCTGCAAATATCATGGTTGACTAAGTTGTGAAGAACACAGATTGTTGCTTGCTGTATTAAAAAAAAAAAAAAAAAATACTGTGTCAAGGATTGGTTCATTAACAGTTGGGGCTATCTAAAAAGTCTAATTGGTGGATTTGTTTTTTTAAAGGTGGCCCCATCATTCACACAGCAAGGGAAGAAGAAAGAGGTGTGTACATGGCCAAAGGGGAATGAGTCAGATAAAGGAATACTATAGCGTTAGGAATACAAATCTGTATTCCTAGTACAAACCTTTATTCCTAATGCGTGCGATTATTCACGCGTTAGTGTTTTTATGTTGTTGGTTTTAGCATCTTTTTTTACCTTACCTGGACCTTCCTCATTTTATACCTAAAGATTATATCCAGAGGAGCCACACTTTCTAACTCCTTGGTGGGAAGTACACCACCTACGCTACACAGGATTGAGCAAAAGCCTAGTTTTTTGCTCTCCTTTTGTGAGCATACCTCCTTTTATTTTGCTTTTATAACAACAAAACAGAGAGCACTATTTTTCTATTTTTATTCTTATTTTATCTATTTGGTTATTATCTGTGAAACTGCAATTTGGAGGGAAATATCCATGAACGCTCAACACTCTAACTGATGCTTGACCCTGACCTACCATCTACAAGAACACATGCTGAGCGACATATCCACAGGTGGGGATCATACCGCCCAGGTGCATATATTATTGACCTACCAAGCACTCAATAAACTCTTCTCTAACAAACTATGTAATTCCCCTACTTTAACCCTTTGTGTCACTATACCCCACTCCCTCTAGCATGTAAGCTCATCGAGCAGAGCCCTCAACCCCCTCTGTTCCTGTACATCCAGTGGTCTGATCTCAATTATGTGTCTGTTAGTCCACCCATTGTACAGCGCTTTGGAATTTGTTGGCGCTATATAAATAATAATAAAATAATAATAATAATATATCTGGAGCTGAACATAAGCTCCATAAAATTGTAAGTGGTATTTTTATTATTTCACCTCACCACCTATAGAATATACTACACTATATTCTGCTTTCTATCTTCATATTTTCCATACTGACTCACCACCATTCGAGTTTGAGGACACTCAGAAGGCGCTGCTTCCCTGTGCCCTTTTCTGACCTTTATTCCTAATGCTATAGTGTTCTCCTCTACATTTAGGCTCAGGGCCCCCCTAAATAAAAAATAAATAAAAATAAATAAAGTGTATTCCCTTCTTTTCCAGCGCCAAAAACAATTCACTGCAGACGCTCAACCCGCTTCCCATGACATCAAGCATTTGAGGAGGTTAGCTGTGAGAGCCAAGTCTGACTTGGCTTTTACAGCGAAAGCACCTCCAGTAGCTGTTAGTAAGAAAGCCACTAGTGGTTTGCTTAGCCCTACAGTGGTGTCTAGTAAACGGCAAAGCTTACATTGCAGGGTTGAAAGTAAAGAACCACTGCACCCAGGTGCCTCTAGTGTCCCTTTAAGGAAATGGCAGATGCTGAAGTAAACAGGGCCAATTTGGTATTGAACATACATAGCACAGTCATAAGGTGCCATGTCTGATGCCACCATCAAAGCTGGCATTTATTTAAACAACAAGCATAAGGTAAACAACAATAAATATAACAATATTTTAAAATCATTGCCTCCTAGGGCAGTAATAGTTCCTTAGATGTTTCTGAACTTCACTTCATAAATGTTCAGCCAGTCTACAGTCCAAAAACATGCGATGCCAAGCCTAGTCATCACTGCCCTAAAACCCTTCAATGCATTGCATGCCTTTAAGATCTCCTCATACAATACTTCAAATAAATGCAAAGAATTAAAAAGCCTAAATGTGCACTCCTCGTCTTATCTCCTCACCAGCATCCAAATAGTAGAGCAATAATATAAGGTTTGTTTGTACTTTTCATCTTCAATAGATGACCTTTAGGGCACGAGACCTGTAGGCTGCTTAGGATGCATGACCTCCCCTAATCCTTAAAGTGATGTTAATGCTTAAATATGAAAGCTTCTCACTTCAAATGTGTTTACTGTTTGTATTCCTCTTTCTTACCAACTGCTGCTTCTAGTATACTATTACTCTATTTTGTGGACACACGGGTAACTTCGTATACACCTATTATGTTATTTGTGTATATATTGTTCTCTGCTATTTTAGTCAAGTGAATGCACATAAACATGTGATTCAAATCTTCAAACAGTTTAAACCATTGTCAAATGGATGAATAAGAAATATAGAATTCTGAGACAGCTGGGCTGGTTACTTTCTACCATGAAAAGTTGAAATCGGGTCCATGGCTAGAAGTAACTTCTCTTAGTGCTATTACGAGGTTTCTCCTGGTTGTGTAAGTTTTTGTTTTGTTCTGTTTTGAAAGGGGATCTACGTCTAGGAAAATACAGATGCTTGGAATAATATTTATCTTTAAATTTTGCCCTATAGGGAAGCTTTTAAGGCCTTCTAAGTACCATATAATTGTTTGATGCAAATTAAAAACAAATGTCTCATATAGTTAAACCTCAAGGATATATTGTTTCAGGTATGTTTGTTGTTATATTTGATATGATGAAGCAATTTTATGTTTTCACAAATCAGATGTGTTTTTAACAAATCAATGCAATTAAAAAAAAATTATTCGAATTGTCTACATAATTTTCATATATTTTTCTTATAATAATAACAACACCACTATACAGAAGACAACTTTATTCTACCTCTAAAAAGAAACTGCTATATTTCCATTGATGATGTCTTAATAGTGTATTCATCCCTATAAACACTATTTATACAAGCAGTTTTCTCAAACACCAGTGAACGTAAAAATAAAAATATTTGCCAAATATTCAGTGAGATTTACTCCCCTGTTCCAAATAAACATTTTCATTTACATTTTCATTCTTCTAATGCAATCACATTTCCCACGAGTCCTTTTCTCCTGAAAGTTATGTCAGCTAGGGGAGCTGGGCACAGCTGAACTGCAGTGAGGATCCACCTTAGGTGTTAAAGGGACACTAGAGTCACCAAAACAACTGTAGCTCTATAAAGCAGTTTTGATGTATTGATCATGCCTCTGAAATGTCACTACTCAATCCTGGAGTTTAATCGCTGTTGTTTTTGTTTATGTAGCCCTAGTCACACCTCCCCTGGCTGTGGCTGACATAGCCTGCATGAAAACAAAATGGTTTCACTTTCAATCAGATGTAACTTAATTTAAAAGTTAAATTCCTAGCACTATGGTTTCCTCGCTTAAAATACATAAGATCTACGTCTATCCTCTGTCCGTACTCCCACATCTTATGCTTGCCTCCAAGACTTCTCCAGTGCTGCACCTTTTTTTTGTGGAACTCCCTTCCCTTCTCCGTTAGACTTTCACTCAGTCTCCACTGCTTCATAAAATCTTTGAAAACTCACTTCTTCAGGAAAGCATATCGTTTAAACTGTTAGAGGGTTTTCATTCCCCCCCATGAATCCTCTCCTGCAAAGTTCTCATTGAATACTTTTCTAGCAACCTATTTCCTTACCCCTACTTTAACATTTTGTGTCACTATACCCAGCTCCCTCTACCATGTAAGCTCATTGAGCAGGGCCCTCAACCCCTCTGTTCCTGTGCGTCCATTTGTCTGGTTACAATTGTAACAATGTTAGTCCACCCATTGTACAGCGCTACGGAATTTGCTGGCACTATATAAATAATAGGGTATATGAAAAAAATTCAAAAATACACACACAGGATATATAATATATATAATGTATATATACATATATTATATAAATGTTTTTACAAATATCTGCTTTTCGGGTGCATGAATTATGACAATTTACAAAACAAATCTTTTAATACACCGACAATAACTGATCAGCATTTCCATCCCACTCTACTGAAAACAAATCCCAAATGAAGTCAATGAAATTTGAAGTCTCTCAGCAGTAAATCACATCATCAAAAGGTCAAAGTTCTGGTCAATTTCCAGACTAATGATGTTTAACACAAATAAATACTTGCCAAATACAAGAACTCTAGCCATCAATTTAAAACCTAGGTACATCATACTAACAAACCCAACTTGGTTTAGACAACACTATTTTAAATATCTTCTTACCCATTTTAAAAAGGTTCTGCAAGTAAACACTTATTAGAAAAATAATATTTATTAAGGGGCCAGCTTAGAAACCTCCCCCTCCCCCCCAGTACATAAAGTATCACACTTGCCATTTTCAGAAAAGCCAGATTTGTTAAAAGACACAGGGCAACTGGCATTTACACATAATTTATCATGAGTTTAGCCTTTACACTGTTTACCCTGTTTATTATAGGTGAAATGTCATGTTAACTGAAAAAAAAGTAGTTGTGACTTCTAGCTAATAACTGGTAATTAAAAAAAAAAAAAGATGTAAGGGTTGTATTTATGTTTAAACACAACCTCAGGCAGAATTAATTAACATTGTTTCACATGGGTGTCAAATTGCAATAAAGTTCATGTTTTTGATCACAGCATTTTTTAAATAAAGTTAATTCATATTGTCCAAATTTAGAGGATTCCATTCCTCAAGCACAGATGACAGATTTGGAAAATGTTTGTTTACTGTAAACAGCAGGCCATAATAAGGAACAATAACTGCTCTGCCATACATGCAAATACCTTAATAGTCTCTGTAAGGAAAAAATAGTGCTTCCAGTTTTTGGGATATTGTATTTCAAATGGTTTATTTACTCAACAGTTAACTAGTTAGCTGAAAACCAAATTATAAACTTTATGAGAAAAATAGCTGAAGAGGACAAATTCCCTTACTCCGCTATAATCACAGTATGAATATTTAAGCTTAAATTTTTAAAATCTATTTTCACTTCAACACAATTCAATGTTAAGGGAATAAACCTGTGTGATACAGGGGCAGTTCTTTAGAGATGGTTTCAGCTTAGCGTGCATTTGCACTAGTGATGAAATGCAATTTATTAGCTCACGTACGTACATTCACTTGACCAATTTTTTAAGTCATATGCTCAGGGAAAAATATCCCAGCACTGTGAGTCAAAACAGGATGGTCTCACTGGATCCCAAAAACATTTACATACTCAACAAATGAAATACTATCATCAGCTAATACAAGTGGCATTTTCAGGAAAACAAGGCAGTTGACTGGTAAAATAAAGATATGACTAAAACTATTTTTTTTTTTGGACAAGTGCATTACAGTGTTAATATATCAGAAATATATTGTAAAGTTATCTAAACTCTAGATATGCATAACGTGCCAAGGGACTATATGCTATTTTGGAAATCTATATGGAGCGGTCTATACTCTGTTAAGTTCCCAGGAAAAAGGATATGGTACTTCATTTATTCACCAAATGTTCACAAGGGATGGGAATAGAGAAGAACAAGACATTCAAATAAAAAAAAGTCATATTTATGAAGGAAACAAAATAGCAACTCTGATGCAAAAGTGCTAAATTTGGCCAAGCAGCAGAAATAGTTCAATGTTTTTCTCTGATGTGTTCTCATAGTCTGGATTTTTCAGGGCTTTTCATTAAACCTTAATTTGTAATAATAATGTTAATCAGCTTTGTATCATCATTACCCAATTTAATGGCATTCAGTCTATTGAACTTGGAAGGATGAAAGGCTGAATTGATCTTGGGAATGAATGTGTAAGTCTGAGATGCGATAGCTGGCTTCCTTAACCTGTGAGCTATCGCTCCAGCAAATTAAAGTGCAAATTGAAACAGCTTTTTCAGAACTGTCACTGTTTTGCATCCTTGAGTCTGTGTGTCTAGACATATTCAAGCCATATAACATGCTATATTCACCAGTCACTTACGAAGAAAGTATATTTTGGTAAAGCCAATATCATTGTGATCCAAACTAGATTTTTGTCACGTGCAAATCCAATCTAGATTCTGAGAGCACAGAGAATTCTGCTTAAAAACTGCAGGAACAACACCCCTGGTTTCCTTGTATCCTAGCCAGCACAACATCCTGGTATAATCCTCACATACAGATTGGTTGGAACATCTTAAATCAATAGAATAATATGTTTTTATTTATCCAACACTTTACATAAACATTTGCCTTCTGCCCCAGTTAAGATGGCTAAACATTAAATAAAGGCCGCTAAATATTAACTAGAATCTTTTACAAGTCATTCCGGAAAGTTATAGGACATGATGAAATGGCAGATAAGAGCAGGTGTGCATATGATGCTCAGAGTAAATAGACTTCTAACGAGAATTCTTCAGAAAATGTCTTCATAATATCAGTAACATAAATTCTTTTTAACCCATAATGATCTAGTACCATTTCTGCCTGAAACATATTCAAGACCCAATATAAAGATTTTTAACTTATAACTAAGTCCCCTAAGAAGCCTGTTGACAAAACAAGCATTCGTGTTTGTGATGGTCAGGGGAAATAATATTTATTTATATTATTTACCGATTTATAAAAAAAAAAAAAAAAGAAGAAGACACTCCCCAAATCACCTGTTCTTGTAACTACAGCTATTAATCAAGATGTTAGGCCAGAATTTAAAGGGGCAGTCCGGGCATCAAAACAGCTTCATCTAAACAATATTGTTACGGTACCCGTAGGCCCCAGGCGCACTCTTACCTTAATGGGTTAAACTGTTCTAAACGGTTTACCCCCAAAGTGAGCCTCTCAACTCCCCCCCCAGGCAGCATCGAGCTTCTGAAATCAGTGACTCCCCATTTATAAAACTGGCTTGAAAAGAAACGTACCCTTTTCTAGCCAGTTATATGAATGGGGAGTCACTGATTGGATGAGGGCTATGAGTCAATCAGCAGGACCGCTCCCATGAGTTAGACAGGGGCCCTGAAATAATGAATTTGTTTGGTCCCATTCACCATCTCCATCTGAAGAAGGAAGGGGGCCAAACTGTCTCTACTATATGTCAATTAGTCAATAGGGACTTCACTTTAAAATAGATTCAATAATAGAATCTATTTTAAGTCTGACATCAGCATGCAAAGTATTAGAAATTCTTCTCATAGAAAAGCACTGTATTGGTGGATCATGGCGATAGTCGCTCACACATCATTTCCCCTCAATGCTTATTAAGGTAAGTTTAACAGTGATTTTAAACATTTTCTTTAAAAATAACAAAAGAGAGAGAGAGAGAAAAACATAAATCTAAATTGATAAAAGAACACAACTAAGTGAGCAAAACTATTTATTTATATACACTGAACAAAATTAGAAACGCAACACTTTTGTTTTTGTCTAATCAGCATCTCGATATGTCACACCTGTGAGGAAGATGGATTATCTCGGCAAAGGAGAAGTGCTCACTAACACAGATTTAGACAGATTTGTGAACAATATTTGAGAGAAATAGGCCTTTTGTGTACATAGAAAAAGTCTAAGATCTTTGAGTTCAGCTCATGAAAAATGGGGGCAAAAACAAAAGTGTTGCATTTATAATTTTGTTCAGTGTAGTTTTAAAACTAAAATCTATGCACATAATAACAGTCTGGAGTATTTTTAAATGCACTCCACCCTATCCTAACTGGACTACTGTTTGATTTATGAATACTCTATAAAATGGAATGGTTTAACGTTGTAACATTTACAAAGTAACACCTCATAAATTAAGCAAGTTCAGGTGTGGTAAACCACACATCACAAACATCTACAAACTTGATAACGCTGTATCTAAAAGGCATATGACTCACTAAGTCATTAGATCCATTTACACATGAGCAACATTAATGCCTGACAATGCCCTATGACACCCGTAGCTCACCGGGCCCTAAGGGTATCTTTTATAAGCTTTTCAAAGTGACAGGTCAACCAGCTTTGCAATTACAAATTAATTGCAGTTCAAGGAAATCTACAAAGAACTAATGTATCTTTCACAACAAAATAATGAACATTTTGATGCAAGCTAGCATTTTATTTCTGTTGTAAAGACAAATAACAGTAATATTCCGTTAATACCTACACCAAAACCAGAATGACTTTTGGAAACTGCTATTTTAAAAAGTGAATGGAAACTACAAAGAAAAGATGTAAAATGAGTTGAAGGAAAGAAGTATAATATTGCGCAAACACAAGACATCCTGTTATGTCTCGTGTTATGTCAGATGAGTCCCTCACAACTCCTGTTTTTATGGGATTCTATAGTGTAAGGAATACATTATAGAGCCCCCTGGTCCCTCCCTTGTTGAAGTGGTCTATGTAACTATAGTGTCCCTTTAAGTTTATTTAAATGCACATTTCTCCTCATAGGTTAAAGGTTTGTTTGATTAGGGCCTTCTTGTCTCTGATAATATTTTGTATGTCCACTACTTATTATTAGAATTTATATAGCGCCAACATATTCCACAGTGCTTTACAATTATAAAATGGGAATATTTGACAACAAGTAATTAACATACCGAATTTAACAGAGACAAGAGGTGAAGAAAGCCCTGCTCAAACGAGATTACAATCTATGAAACAAGTTTACAAACGCATAAATGTCAATTATCCCCATTCTATGATTGTAGAGCGCTGGGATATATATTGGCGATATAAAAATAATACTACTACTCCACTACAAATAATTCATGTACAGGTTAACTATGCTACAAAAGGCTCTCGTAGTGATGTTAGATTAGTAGCTCACATATCAGTATACTATACTGCAAGTAGGTCATGTAATGATATAACTTGCTGCATGTGACTGCTACTATCAGAGGCTCACATACAGAATAATACACTAAGAATAGCTCACAAACTGGTAAAGTATGAGTGCCTCAAATTGAACCAATCGAATTATAGACACCTGTACTACAAGTAAAGACAGGAGACATGGACTCAGTGTGCAGGACGTTCCTTCTGAGTTCACCTGTTCCAGGCAATTGCTACACAATTACCACTACTCTGGGAAGGATCTAAGATCAAGGATGGGTTACAAGCCCTTTTCCATTTTCACTGTCAAACTGAGATGGTGATTTGAGAGTGTCTTACTCAAGTTATGTTTAACAAATAAGTTTAGATGTCTCAGCTGTTCATCCTTTAATAATTATCGCTAGTGTGCACAACTGCTTAGCTGTTTACAGACAAATAACTTGTTTTCATATTTTTTTAAAACACTTCTTGTGATGTTTTTGTAAAATTATCATTTCAAATTCTATATTCTACAAATATAACTGTCAAAATGTACAATTTATGCTAAATAGCCAAGCCGAGATAAGAAAACTAAACTACTCTACTAAAAGATAAATAAACCAGTGTAATAGATTATCTATAACATGACATAAAGGGTGAATTTCCTCTTCTCTTTATAAATAAAAGTTCAAAAGGAAGACTAAGTGTTCTAGGACTGATGTTTGGAATTTGTGATTTTCACAACGCCAGTTTCATAACTTTAAACATGGCATTTATTTTAATAAGGATTTGTCTCTTGACCAAAAGAACCTTGTGACCAGATTCTCATTGTTTAAAATTGTTAGAATTGCTTTAAATCTGATTTTAATCACTCTTAATGATCAGTTATTTCAGCCCCACTAGACCTGGCTGGATTTTACTACCAGCTATTGCTACCAATTGGAAACAACCCAAAGTTCTTTAATTGCCATCACCTGCATGTGGACCAATTCACAGAATCCTACAGCACCACTAAAAACATTACTACACGCTATTACGGATAAAACCAGATTGCATATACACTGGTTTCTCTATGCATAACTTACTTTTGGGAGATAATATCCAGAAGCAAGCATTAAAACAAGAGATTAACCAATATTTATAAAAAAAAAGCTATTCCAAGAAAGATCTTATATTGCAAAGGTCGATCCAAGTTGAAATATCTGAATCATTATCCTATTTGTATTTAAAATACTGTATACTAAGCAACAGTTTTTGTGTCAGCGTGTATGTGCATCTGTGTCGGTATGTGTGTGTGTGTCAGTGTGTATGTGTATCTGTGTCAGTATGTGTGTGTATCTGTGTTTTACTGTGTGTGTGTATCAGTGTCAGTACGTGTGTGTATCTGTATGTGTATCAGTGTATATGTGTATCTGTGTCTGTTTCACTGTGTATTTGTATTAGTGTCAGTACTTGTGTGTATCTGTATGTGTGTCAGTGTATATGTTTATCTATGTCTGTATGTGTGTTTTACTATGTATGTGTATTAGTGTCAGTATGTGTGTGTACCTGCATGCGTGTCAGTGTGTATGTGTATTAGTGCCAGTATGTGTATCTAATTATCCAATGGGGGTGTTACACCCCCCCCATTCCACCCAGTGCCAAATTTGGTGATACACCAATTGATCCCAGATTAAACTCTAAAAATTATTGTTAACCTCTATGTGTATCTACTGGCCACTGTGTGGAACTTGCACAAGAAAATGCCCCAAATGACAAGCAAATAAAAACCACATACATCCTACAAAGTATGAAGTACAAAAAATAATGAAATTTAAAAAAACAGAGCTGAATGCTATGTAGTTAACTAAAAGAAGAAAGACAATTTTTTTGTTATCAGTTCCTTTTAAACTGCAGTAGGTAGTATAGTGCAGATTGTTATAATAGCTGCCCTAAGTTCTATTTCACGAGATCCCTTTTTTTTAACACAGGAACTGCTTTGAAAGTACTTTTGTACAGTGCGCTTGAGTTGCTAAAACAAAGTTCGAAGTACGTTATAATTTAAAGCACTATAAATGTTTTACAACTCAAACATTTTTAAAGCTTAAGACCTACATTTTTTTGTAACCCGATCGTGGTTCACCTTGTTAAACCTTGTTTTATATGAACGCTGGACTTAAAGTGCTGTTTCAGTGGATTTTCATAGTAATTGTTAATATCACTTTTCACACTTGCTGTTGTTCAAAAGAATCGTTTCTTTTTCCTATCGCAAACATGAGTGACAACTGAAAGGCTGACTGTTCCATATGCTCAAGTGCTAGCTCCTACTTACTACAGTGAAAAGTATTTTAGCAAAGCCCAAAACTGTACAATATAGAAATAATCGAGCAAAAAGTGCACTTCATTTTCACAATTTCTTTTGTTTTTGTAATTATTTAACACAATCTAATGCTTTAAAAAAGTAATATGAAATATTGATTGATTTTTGAAGTTTTTCTGATTACTTAATTAGAAAAGAATTATTCTCACCGCTTGCAGAAAATGGATGTATCACATAAACCGTTAAAGAAAATTGCTGTTTTATTTAAGAAGGGGACATTTTTACTACTTGCACCATGGGACACCCTACTGCCTTCATTAGCTTGTGTGGAATTTAAAAAAAATGGCACCCAAAAGCTCATCGAGGATATGTTGTGTTTAAAAATAAAACAATTACAATTATTTATCCTTCAACAAAGCATGTGCACTGCAAACAGAAATACATTTTTCGAGACTAACTTACCAGCCATTGGTGCATGTGTAATATTCGGGAGGTACAGGCCATTTTTGTACATGTAAAGAATTTTTTCAAACTGAGCAAGCGTTTCATCTATTCCCCAACGCAGTTCGCCTGAAAATCATTGTTTTTATTAAGCAAAATAGATTTAATTAAAACAAATGCATAAATTAATTTGTTACAAATACACAACACACACTCAAACTTGATATGCAATTCCAACTAAGGGTACTTTAACATGTTAAAGAAAATATTACTCTACTGGTAGTATTGTTAAGTGGGAAGGATTTAGGTAAATACAATGTAAAGCAGTTCTGTCACTCCAAAAATGCTTTGGAGCTTATCATAAACGTAAAATCTTTATGAAATGTTCATAAGGATTGTGTTAGAATTACATTGAAATTACAATGCGGTCAAAACATATCATAAGACAAAGTACTGATTAATTTAATAAAAGGTGGAGCTACCCACCACTTATCACAAGCTTAAATCTGTGTTCTTGTGGGAATCTCAATAGTCATCAGAAGCCGTCATGCCCTTATGTGGTCTCCTGGTAGATGGAGATCAAAGATGGCAATAGCTGCGGGGACAGCATAAGGTACTCCCACTGCTCCCCAAGCGGCAATGCTATCATTGGGGCCTTTGCAAAATATGCAAAGACCCCAGGAAGTGACATGGCTGCTTTAAGTGCAAGAGCTACTTTGTAATAAAAATTAGTTGCTTTGTTACTTGCATTACACACAATTGTGATTTTTAACAACATAAAAATACAAAAATATTATACATTTCAAATTATAATCAAAGTGTAATCTGCACTCAGGCTTTCCAAGTTGCCTACCTAATATCTAGTGAGAATTATGCCAGTGTTACCTGTTGCATTGACTATTGAATCCAGCAACGGTCTCAGGGACGAAGGTGCGCTGTGTGGCAGGAGATATGTGAAAAAAAACCTATGGAAAAATAGAAGATCCACATATTTTTTTACATTTTTTTCACAAGTGCCTTGTAAATATAAGTAGACTATTTAAAATAAAATTGCAAATAGGTAATAACTTATTACACTCTACAGGAAATGTAACCATAGATCAACATTCAATAAAAAACGAACCTTAACTGTCTGGCGTACAAAAAGAGAGCTTTAAGACAAGGCTGCCTTGTAATCACCAGTAAATACCGCATTAATACAGTTGCCTGCTGTGGAGTTTGGTGGGCTGTGGCTATTTGAAGCATGTCTAGTACTTGAATAAAATTTATTGCATTTTCAATCACCACTGCTTGGACGTTATAGTTAGGTATAACTAGTATATTAGCATGGTAAAGCTGTAGAGGGTGGAATGAATGTATAGTAAAAAAAATAAAAATAATAATCTTAAAGGACTTTAAAAGGCATAAAGTCTTAAAGGACTTTAGGCTTGGGGAAGATTTAAAGTGTGCGGGAGGTCGTTCCATAATTGTGGTGCTCTGTAGGAAAAGGGGGATCGAGACGCTTTCTTTTTGTATTGAGGTAGACTAAATAAAGTTCTGGTACTGGATCGGAGGTTATAATGCAGGCATAATGCATTTGCGTAAGTGGTTCCAAATGATTACGGGATGTATGGAGTATACTAGAAAAATAAACTTCTAATACAATGGTAAACGTAAGAATTGTCAGGAATTGCAAGTGACTTCAACGTGCATATCAAATTCAAATTAAAAACCAAAATATTTGAATATTTGGTAGCACAGCTGACTAGGAGATATTTTTTTAAAGTTTGTAATTTTGGCATTAAAGCTGAAATTCACATCCAATTTAAATGAATTCCTGACAACTCTCACTTTATTGAATAACCCTGTTTATCCGATTATATACCAAATATATCTATAAATACTGATAATATTAATATACATTATAATATAACTATTAAAAAATATATATGCAACTACAGCAAAATATTATACAAAATATTATGGTTAATATATCTTGAAAATGCTATATTATGTCGTTATGATTTGCTTATAAGCACAAAGGTATGTTGTTATATTATTATATGCTTTCTTATAAGACACTGCCATGCAGGAAAGTTTTAAATGATCAATACTATAAAAAAAAAAAAGAAAATCTGGCCCCCTTAAAAATAAAATCTATAGTTAAAAAAACTTGCCTGTAATCTAATTGTAAAAGTGTGACTTTTATCCAATTAAATGCTTTTTAGAACTACTGAAGACACACAGGCAATCGTCATAATCTTCCAATCCAATGCTTTTCTATGAGAGGAATTAGCCACGTTTGGCATCACGATGCTGTGTGAACACATTTAAGGTCTTAAAGGAACATTATAGCGTTAGGAATACAAACATGTATTCCATACATAATAATGTTCTTCTGCCTATAGGTGCCCTACCCCACCCTCGCTGTGTGAATTTAAAAGGTTAGTTTACTTACCTTACTTCGAGCAGCATGCCGGTCTCCGTGCCGAAGCTCAGCCTCCTTGGCTGAGATCACCAGAAAGCATTAGGAGGTAAGTGTGCATGTGCGGCAAAATTGCTGCACTGCGCCAACCAGATGGTCCAAGAGACTGTTTGAAAAAGCTGACTGTTTAGGTGGAAGCGCCTCTAGTCTGCCATCCACTAGAGGCATTTTAACACTGCAGTGTTAAAACAACAGGGGCATGGCACCATTACATCTTCATTGAGATGAAGCGGTATAGGTGCCTATAGAGTCCCTTTAAGGAGGAATTCCCTCCTGACAGACACTGGCAGCATGTTCTCGGCCAAATATAAACATTGTGTTTTTCAGAAGCAGCAATGTTTTACATTGTCTGAGAAAAGGGACAGCAATTATGCAGGAAAATCACTGCATAGATGCTACTTCTATGGTTCGATGCTTACAGGGTCCCTTTAAATACCATTAGCTGTTAAAATATTTACATTGCATTGGAGTAAACAGCGCTTCTCGGCAATCCATGAGCTATTTAATTTTTTTCGTCTTCCTTTCTGTTGGCCAGAAGTTTTGATTTGCCATAATAAGCAGCCAAGTACCCCTATAATCTATTTACTAGCGGTTGGATTGAGATGAATACAGAGCTTTTACAAGAAGTCCATTTACTGCAGTTGATTTTCAATATGTCTTTCTACTTTGTTGAAATCATCAAACTCAGCTTAATGTGAACTGTCATAAATCATCACACACTCACTGTCTGTTGAAAGCAAGAGGATATTCTTAGCTACAGCCATTTAGTTGTGTGCTTTTGTGAAAAGCAGATTCAAGGCAAGAAGAAAAGCTTCTGTTAGTTCAAAGGGGATTATATTGGGAGGGGGTAGCCAGCTTAACAGAAAAGAAAAGCAAAGTTCATTAGGTGCCATGTAATGCATACAAAGTGGCCACTATTTTACATTTATTTGAAAAGAGAATCTGCCATAAAACCGCTGTCATTCCATTTTACTTTAAACAAATGAGCAAAATAATTAGAAATACTTACACAAGTGGTGGTCTTGTCCTGTTAATCTGATGCCTCTCCCATTAAAATTAACAAAGTTTACAATATTTATCTCACTACTTGTGTTATTTATAAAACTGTTCAGAATTCACAGGGGAATTGCCGATTGTTTTGGTAAAATAGTAAAATTCTCCAAATTGATTACATGTCCTGTGTGGCAATTTTAGCATTAAATCAACAAGTTTCCAATTTTCAGCATAGTGAATAATCCCAAAATATTTTTTTATACTACATTGTTGCAAAATAGAAGAGAAATTATTCATTAATTAAATTGTACCGTGAGTAGATGATTTTATAATTGTTTCATATAACAGATTGAAAGGGACATTATAGTCACCAAAACAAATTTAGATTAATGAATCAGTTTTTGCATAGATCATGCCTCTTTAGTCTCGCTGCTTAATTCTCTGCCAGTTAGGAGTTAAATCACGTTTCTGCTCATGCAGCCCGAGTCACACCTCCCTGGCTCCCATGAATCACACAGCATGCATGAAAAAAAAATGCTTTAATTTTCAATCAGATGTTTACTGACTTTAGACGTTTTTTATCTCTTGCTCTGTAAATTCAACTTTAATCGCACACAGGAGGCTCCTGGAGGCTCTAGCAAGATATTAACAGTGCAGGAGATAAATTCAATTTTCAACATAATTTGCAATAAAGGTAACTTAAGCATTAGAATACTTTTTACCGGAGGTGTTTTGGGAAGGCTTTGTAGGTCACATGCAGGGAGGTGTGCTTAGGGCTGCATAAACAAAGTGATTTAACTACTAAATGGCAAAGTATTGAGCAGGGAGACTGCAGAGGCAGTCCTACATCCCGATCTCTTTTTAAGGAGATTGGTTGTCGTAAAATCAGTTCTATTTATCTGTTTGGATACCCTATTTCCACTCTTTATATGCCTGTGTGTGATTTTATTTAAAAAAAACATTTATTGTCTGTATAACATGCGTCAAGGGGGGTTAAGTATGTCTGTTGGGTTGATAAAATATGTGGGACTCACCGGATCCCCTATTAACAACTAGGGGGCCATTCTAATTGGATACAGAGAACTCTGAGTGCTCCAATCCGTCATGCATTCCTGACTTTAGGCAGAAGCGTCGGGCAAGTTATAACAACCCAAACTTAGGTCTCTCACTAATGACGAAAATCTGGACGGCAGGAGAGTAATGAAAATGGTATACCTACTAAAGGTGCAGAACATACACTCCTCTGCAAAGCCAGGTTAGATCTTTTGCCTCCTGAACCTATACATGTAGTTACAGATGTAACTGTAACAGGATGTCTCACCAGCTGAGAGTGATAATGAAATTAGGGTCTACACATGGTACAAAGAGTATTGGGGCATGAGGAATTGAGAAACCACTTACAAAATGAAATACCAAAATAGTCAGGAACACTCAAGAAAATGTAAAACTCAACTATTTTAACCTGCATCTAGCAAATTGTTTGACAAGTCACTTCAATTCTATGGACAAACACCTAAGAGAGCCTCACACGTTTTCAATGTACTTGCATAGCTCTACTAGGACGTTAAATATTTCTTAAAATTTGTTTTCATTCAATACTCTGTTTAAAAAAACACGGTCTATCCGCACACCAAGGTTCTCCTGTTTCTCTGCATAATCATTGTCAAATAAAAGACACACACCTGTATGCATTGTACAGATTCCGTTTCTCATTCATATTTTGACATTTTCCTTCAACAGAGCATTGAAGCGTAAAATTTCTAGCTGGGAATTCCATGAAGCAGTCGGCATTGCTAGAACATGATGTTCCGTCCATGCTGGCATCATCTAAATCTGTAACTTTCAATTCACCATCCACAATGACGAACTGCCGAGGTCGAAAATCCAATAATGTTATCGAACCAAGGGGAGAATGTGCCAAATAATGCAAAAGTCGTACTAAACTGAGGCATATCTGAAATGGAAAACATAGTTACAAGTTTAGACCCTTAGGTAAGGAATTGTAATTTCAAGTTTATACAGTTAAAGAAACACTCCACATACAGCCTGTGAAAGATTAAGGCTTCTTTTATTTCCAATTTACAAAAAGTACAGATTTTTTTATATTGGTACTTTTATAAATTAACCTTGTTACACCTCCCTGGCTGTCACTAAGACAATCGGTACTGTTACTTCCTGGTTGAACTCAAGAGGCAGCAATTGTCCAGAGCACCTGCCTTGCAAGGATTTCTCACTGAGCTGCATTGGGCAGTCTGTGATTGGACAGTCACAAAAAATCTGGGCGGGGTTAGAAGAAGAGGGTTTGCAAAGGCTGCAGACAAGAGATCTTCAGCTTTTGCAAGCTGTTTTTATATATACACCCAACAATAAAATGCATAACTAAATTAAAAATGGAGGCTGCCATTTTGAAATCATCTTTTGTGCTTATGAGGAGAAATTAAAATACTTTCACCTCCAAATAGCAAAGCAAGCCAGAAGATGCACTGTTAAGTCACATGGATTTTTTTTTAAAATATATTCAGTGATAATAGACAAAGAGGGCTGATTTAATTTAATAATAATATTTGACTCTGATACCACACACATTCAATAGTTGGGGAATCTAATTGAAAATGAATTTCAAATTTTAGACCAAAAAAAGTGAACTAAAAACATGATTTGGTAGATATTTTCCTTGTTTGCCTTTGAAGTTAATATAAACTGAATTCTCACTTTAGTAATTAACCATGTATGTTTTTTTTTTTTCAATAAAAATGAAAGAGGAAATTGGCAAATAATGCCCAAAAGCAGTCAGATCTTTTGCCTATAGAACTAGCGATTACTTTCCAAATAAAGTTATATTTTCTTTAATCACACTTTGAGACAAAAACATATCATTGTGTTACACAAGCATTACCACTAAATATTATATTGTTTTTGCTGTGAAGCTTCTGAAAATATCAGGGTCAAAGCAAAACATACTTTTAGCACAAATAAAAAAAAGTATTATTTTTCATTAAAATATACTTGTACAACTGTAAAAAAAAGGTTACTTACCCGAAATCTGTCCTCCCACGAGGATTGCAGTAGCTGAATCATCTCCAGTGGTGAGCCCAGTTCAGTGATAGTAGTTAATGTGTCCGAAATATCATTGCTGTCTTGATAGCAATAGCCGTAGAGCTGTAAAAAGTAAAAAAAGGTTAAACATATTACTCTATTGGTTGCAAATGTCTTTATTTTATAATATTCCCATTAATCAGTATCCTTCTCATTAAACTAGGCTATAATAAATTTAACAGAAATTCCCACTTGAAGATTTGAAGGGTTTTTAGTGTTAACCAACACCAAAAACAAACACACAAGTAATAGATTCTCATTTATATCATCTATGGGACTTAAATTAGTTGCATATACAAAATATTTCTTGCATTGCTACATTTTTGCTCTGGAAAAAGAAAAAGTCTTGGGTCCACCCCAATGAGCTTACAGTATCTCCAAGCGAAAAGCAAGCCTCCCCCGGCACAGGATCCTAAGGATCCAGCCTGCATCTACTAAATATTTTTAATATTTTTTGTATTTCAGTGTTTTGTTAGTTAAAAAAAAAAAGCTCATCCTTCATCACCCCTTTTAAGCGTTATGAATTTTTATTATTTAGCATACAGCGTGACATGTTTGACATAGACATAACTTTAGTCTATTTGATAAATTTACTTCACAGTTCATTACGGTTTTCTTTAAACTAGATGAATTGAAATATTTTCATCGGTTAAATTTGAATAATTAAACAGATTTCGCTGTCTCTTGATAAGTTCCACAGTGTTAAATGAAACTAACCCGATACCACAAGTCCTTAATTGGAGAAGTGATAAACTCAATAGGACTGTGTGATGCAGTACAATGAATACTGAGAGGCCATAATTCAGTTCTTAAACTACTGGTGTTTCAAACTGTGAAGGGATAATGTAAAAGATCTGAACTTGTGCCTGGTAAACAGAGGGGTTTGTGCAGAATGGTAAGATCATTAGGAATAGATTAGAACAAAATCCTCTGTACAGGGTTTGTTATCTCATGTCATAAGCATCACACAAGCCAGGCATGCATTAGGAGATAACATTTTTGGAAAGTGCCTGAATTCACTCGTTGGCCAACAGACAAAATAAAACAATTTGCAGATTATTATTATTATTGCCATTTATATAGCACCAACAGATTCTGTAGCGCTTTACAATATTATGAAAGGGGGGAATTTAACTATAAATAGGACAATTACAAGGAAACTTACAGGAACGATAGGTTGAAGAGGACCCTGCTCAAACGAGCTTACAGTCTATAGGAGGTGGGGTGTAAAACACAATAGGACAGGAAATAGCAATTAAATAAGGTGGGAGTGAAGCAGAGCTGGAGTAGAGAGTAGAGTGCTGCCCTTTAGGAGAGAGCAAGAGACAGGTATGTGAGGTAGAGGTTACTCTGGGAGGCCACAAGCTTTCCTAAAGAGATGGGTTTTCAGGCACTTTAAACGATTGAAGACTAGGGGAGAGTCTGATGGTGGTAGGCAGGCTATTCCATAGGAAGGGAGCTGCCCGCGAGAAGTCCTGCAAGCGTTAGTTGGCCATAAAGGTGCGAACAGCCAACAGGAGGTGCTCATGGGCAGAGCGGAGAGATGGAGAAGGGGCATACCTATGGATCTGTGAAGAGATATATGAGGGGCTAGAATAATACAACTGCCACAGAAGCTGTTTAGAGATAATGGGAATGTGGTCTCGCAAACTGCACGGAGAGTATAAAAGACATTACAGAGAACGGTTAAAGAAATCACAAACTGGGACATTCTACAACTCAGATATTTCTCCAGTATGATTGTTTTTGCCTAAAATATGTCATTTTTTGTCAATTCTTGGCTTAATCAAGGAATGCTAGGAGTCTAATAATGCTATTGATATTTCATGCCACAGAAGTGTTCCTATTTAGGAGGGGCAGTGCCTATTTTTGGGTCTGTCCCTCTGTCCCGCTTTTCTATCCTAATGTCCCTCTTTTCCAGGAGTTCTATATCATTGGTTTGTCTGAATGCATAATAGAGCCTCACAGCAATAATACACACAGTAATGTGTCTTTAAATTAGAATAACTACATTTAGAAATCAGTCTGTGTAAATATGATCTGTTGTTCTACATTGAATTTTAATTGCATTCATTGTTATTAGTAAGTCACAGAAGAGCCCCTGGTCACACCCCTGCGCACACTTCCAAAATGAAAGTGTCACTCTTTGTTCACTTCATATGTTGAGAGTTCAATTTTATTCCATATTTCGTAGAAAATATATGATTTTTGTCCTTTTTTTTTTCTTGCTCTTTGACAGCATAATTATTACAGAAAATGTGTGTCTGCTGTTACTTTGAAGATATGCCTCTTTTTTGAAGCTACATTAACCTCCCCCCTTTACCATGTCTCCTTTCCAAATCATCCACCTCCTTTCCTCATCTGCTGGTCATGCTTCACTTTCAATGTGTCTATTGTGTCTTGTTTCCTCTAGCCACACTGTCTCTTTTAACCTCCTATCTTCCCCTACATCCTAGGTCTCTATCTGGTTCCTCTTCATTCTCACACACCACCATTCTACAGCACTGACAAACAGGATTGCATGTTAAATGGCACCTGTCATGGCCCAAACAACGTACGCTGATTAGATTGAGCATAATATTTTTAGATATTTTAAAAAAGGTGTTTTTTTTCCTAGTTGTCAAGTGTAGAGGCATTTACTGACAAGGGAGAGCAGAAAAGACTTCTCACAGGAGGTCCTTCTGCTCTCCACCCATAGCTCTGGCTAGAGAGTAAAAGAAGAAAGTGACGTAACATCAGACCATTCCAATATTGGCAATAAAGCCAGCATGCCAACGTCACTGACCAAATTTGTACTGCTTGGGGATGTGTCCCAAACAGGGCAAATCAAAGAAGACCTCTGGAGGAGCTGAGGCAGAGTGCAGGACGAAGAGTAACATCCACGAAGTGGAGGAAAAATGAGCAAATCTCTATATTTTACATTGAATACACCATGTATCTTTATGAAATATGGTGTATACAATGTATATTGGAGCAATTTTAGGTAAATTCATTTTTTTATTACTGGTTCACTTTAAACATTTAATAATCTGAATACTTTGCATTACTGTTGCTCTATAGAAAATAACCTTAAAACCCGTCTCTCTCCTCTTGCCACGGAAGACTATCTCAATCTTTTTCCTTTTCCGAAGGTGCTTTTCTCCACTCCATCTTTCTTTCTCCCACGTTCCACTTCACAACTTTCCTTCCCGTCTTTTCTCTGCATCTTTCTCTAGAATTTTGAGTCAGTTCTTTCCTTCAAAATGGCACTGTCACCGTCTGGGGACTTTGTAGAATTGCAAAGACCCCCAATGATGAAATCACTACTGGAGGTGAGGGGTCACGCATGAGACCACAGGATCCTACATTGATAGATCTGATTTCCAAGCAGCCTCCACTGGTGTCGCCTGGGGGAAAGGACACTGCACTGCCCAGTGTCTAAAAGTGGCAGGCGTAGGAAATATACAGAGACAATTTAGTCCCTACTTTGTCTCAGCATATCTCTTGACTGGGATGGAATCTCCATAACATTCCAACGCAATGAAAATTTGTTTTTTATAAAGATTCTATACTCATTTTTTTGGGTGGAGTGACAGTGCCGCTTTAACTTTTATTTTATTTTCTGCAATACCTAATACTTTCTGTTCCCTTATCCTGAGCATCATTTATAGCAACATTTATCTTTCCTAACCATCTCTAACATTACATTTCTCCTATATCTCCTCTACCTACTGTTTCCACTCTCTGTTAGTGTGTCTGTTAGTGTGTGTGTGTGTGTGTGTGTGAGTGTGTCTGTTAGTGTGTGTGTGAGTGTGTCTGTTAGTGTGTGTGTGTCTGTGTCTGGGAGTGAGTGTGTCTGTTAGTGTGTGTGAGTGTGTCTGTCAGTGAGTGTGTCTGTTAGTGTGTGTGTCTGTTAGTGAGTGAGTGTGTGTCTGTCTGTTAGTGAGTGTGTGTGTGTCTGACTGTTAGTGTGTGTGTGTCTGACTGTTAGTGTGAGTGTGTTTGCCTGTTAGTGTGAGTGTGTGTGCCTGTGAGTGTGTGTGTCAGTGAGTGTTTGTGTCTGCTAGTGTGTGTCTGCTAGTGAGTGAGTGTGTCTGCTAGTGAGTGAGTGTGTTTGTGTGTGTGTGTCTGACTGTCCTGCATAGGGCAGCACAAAACCAGGATACACCACTGATTACAGATATCAAGATATTCCAATCTTTTCTTGGCTGTTACACATTTCCTATTCTTCTTTTGGTAACTTCACCACTCTAGCATCCAAGGAAATGATTATTGAAAAATGTAAGATAATTCTCACAATGTTATGTAACGTAATTCTACATAATTCAAAATGCATTGAAATCTATGATTTTTTGGGAAAACTTTTTTTCTCCTCGTATCCTGCTGTACGAGATTTGTATGTAAATCTACATTAGAATAATGTAGATTTAATAAGGACTCCACTGTGTCTAAATACTTAACACATTCCATCAGCGTGATTTTGGATAATTATTGGCAGTGATTTATTAGACAGAACAGAGATTTTAAAGTATCAAGAGGAGAAGAATACACATACTAAATACACATCTGTACGTGTGGATTACACTACATAGGACGCACCACCAGACCTTTGCGTACGCGTACAGGTGAGCATATATATAATGTTAAGAGGGAATACGCATTGCATCAGGTTTCTCTACATTTTAAACATCATCATGAAGCAGACCCCACAAAATTAAGTTTTACAGGGATCCAACAGGTCCATAAGGAATGGAGAGGTGGAGATTTTAATATAAAGATAGGACTGGCCGAAATGAAATGGATCTATGATCCCTCATGGCTTTAATAATGATTTTGAGATATGTCATTTTTTTTAAGATAAAGATCTGATTTTATTATTATTTTTATTTTTTTATATATTTTTGATATTTTACGAATTGATATATTATCCAATTTTGGAATCTTTTTAGAGGGTTTTTAATTGATAGATTTTTTAGTCTGATATCCATGCGATGTTTAACTCCACTTCTCCATGAGATCTAAATTTATCACAATTTATTACACTTTATCCCTTTCTTTCCCTTCTGTTTTAATCTATTTTTGTATAGAATTTATTTTGATTTGTTTATATTTATTTTTAAGTGTCAATTGATATGTATTTATTCCATATGTTTATTCTCCTCTTCCATTCTATTTCCTGAGCAGGTTTTGGGATTTTTTTTAAATATACCATTAAGGTATTATGCATATGATCTATTATTGTGATTTATTGTTTTTTATTATGTTTATGTTTAGAAATTGAGAATTTTAATATATCATATTCATGCTTACAACAATTACTATGGAGTAATGCAAAATGATTACTGTTCCTTTAACTACTTACTAGTCTCCATTTAAGATTCCCTCTAATTACTGTTTATCATGTTTAATTATTCTTAATTGAAAGTTTATTCTTAATTGAAAGCTCATTTGAAATATATACCGGTATTGGATTTTGGATTATGTATTTGTAACTGTATAAATTTGTAATTATAATTGTATATAAATTGAAAGCATAGTACTTTGGCTAGATAAGATCTTAAGTCGGCAAGGCAAAAGGACCGTATGCAAATTAAGGCAAAACAAGCTAACCAATCAGATCATGACTTCATCCTTTATATGCCCATAACCGACATGGCGGTCGGTAGCACGTCCAGAGGAAGCCGTCATACGGTGAAACGCGTCAACGTCATTTGTGGGGGAGGAGCTTATGCTGGTCGGAACTCGAGGCGGCTAACTTCGAACTTGGGTCTATACGTATTTCTCTACTGACTGCAGCAGTGGAACTACAGCCCAGCCGAACCGGAGAAGGAGACAGTAGCCCACTCATTGATTTTTCACAAGCTGTTTTAGTGAGTAACGGCGGAAGCCGGTTTAATTCACCACCTCATTCAGTAAGAGGCTAGCGATCCTCTGTTGTCTATTTTATATTATATTTCTGTTTAATATTTTGGTTTTAACTCTGCATGTAGCAGACAATAAATTGTTCATTAAGTAACCCTTTACAATTGATGCTATATTATATTACTATCTGCAAATAAGATTACTTGCAAATAAGACTATGCACAAATGGGATCATTTAGCAATGTTAATTGATAATTAGTGTCAGTTTAATGCAATCTGCACTATCATTGCATTTTTTTTTTCTCTTACATATTCCTTTATTTCTTGGAATAAATCCTCTAATACCTAAAGAGGTTGTATACAATCTTTTAATATTGTGTTCTATATTGCGCCACTCACTTTTGCAAATTATATTCTATAGGTGAATTTGGGGACAACACCTGAGTGTGAAGCATATTTCTATACACTGTTCCAATAAGCACTATTTAGCACCCAGATCCTTTCTTCTAGTGATTTATTAGGAAACATTTACTAGACTTCTGTTCTGTAATTCAATGACGTGCCATTTTATTGTGAAAGAAAAATGTTGACCTTCCTAGTTGAGCTACATTTTATGATATTTTCAGATTCACTTATTACAATAGTAAGTGTTGATACTTCCACTGCACTGATTTTAACACTCTCATAACCAAATAAATTTTGTATGTACCATACATCATCCTTATTAAGATGGCAATTAATGCCATTTAATTTAAACATTTGTTAGCAATTTTTTCGATCATAATTACATTAGCTTTTTGATATACAAAAATGCTCAGAAAAAATCAACAAACAAATCAAATAACCAGACTTTTTACCAGAAAAGGACAGTTAACAGTTTGAAAGTTGGAGGATATATATGCTCCATCTTGCAGAGTTTAGTCTTTTTTTCCTAGCTAGTATTCATTAATATATTAGTATGCATGCTAGATATCTAAAGGGTAATATGGTGTACAACCTCGCCATTTCACTGTTTAGATTGTAAGTTCAATTGTGTATTAACTTCTTACTATATTCCTAACGTGCATGCCAATTACAACGTCCATGTAAAATACTGCATTTACCGTATTATACTTTATTTTCCTCTATATAGCATAAACAATCTAAATTTGAAATGTAAAACTCGAGCAGTTCGATCATGGACCGAGGGCCCGAGGCTCTTGGGGGCCACATGCCGATGAGAAGCAATAAACCAGCTGGGAAATTCACAGAACTCCCCAACCTGGTATTCAGCTTTGATGGGCCCTAAGACCATAGGGCCCTGTTAAAAACTTTCCTTCCCTCTACCTCCCCCAGCTCTCCTACCATGTTCCTGAAACGTGAACGAGTTAATACTGTCACATGACTTACCATCAGCTTCTGCAGAAGCTAATCTATCCGGTTGGCAGCTCAGCCGGTGTGGAGGGGGTGGGATCGGAAGTATGTCATGTCCCTGCTTCTCTCTCCCTCACAGAGCTGGCAGCTGTAAGTGGGGGCTGGGAGGAAAAGTGGATGTGTGGGTTTTAAGGGGTGACTGTGTGAGAAACCAGAGGGGGCCTGGGAAGTCCAGGCACAATTAAGAGAGTAGGGGGTGTAACATGCTTTCACACACAACCTATTAAAGCCCCTTAAACAAACTGTACACATATATACGAACACTGCACACACTTCCTCACCAGGACCATCTTTAATATCATTAGGACCCTGGGTTAAGCATTTTCCTGGGCTCCCTGGCTTGCAATCACACCTTTCACATACATACTTACACAGACATATTCACGGACAGACATACTGACACATACACACAGACAGACATACCGACACACACACACATAAAGACGGTGTTCCTCACACCCCACAGTCACACCGCCTCACTTCATAAATACACACCACCATTCAAACACACTGTCTCACTGCATAAATACACCCCACCATTCAATCACTGCCTCACTGCATAAATACAGCCCACATTGGCACAGCCTCACTGCATAAATACAGCCCACATTGGCACAGCCTCATTGCATATATACACGCCACAGTCACACTGCCTCACTTCATATATACACCCCACATTCACACTGCCTCACTGCATAAATGCATCCCACTCAAATACACTGCCTCACTGCATAAAGACAACCCATAGAAACATAGAAACATAGAATGTGACGGCAGATAAGAACCATTCGGCCTGTCTAGTCTGCCCAATTCTCTAAATACTTTCATTAGTCACTGGCCTTATCTTATAGTTAGGATAGCCTTATGCCTATCCCACGCATGCTTAAACTCCTTTACTGTGTTAACCTCTACCACTTCAGCAGGAAGGCTATTCCATGCAACCACTACCCTCTCAGTAAAGTAATACTTCCTGATATTATTTTTAAACCTTACCCCTCTAATTTAAGACTATGTCCTCTTGTTGTGGTAGTTTTTCTTCTTTTAAATATAGTCTCCTCCTTTACTGTGTTGATTCCCTTTATATATTTAAATGTCCAAGCTATACATGTTATGATCCTTTAACCTTTCCTGGTAAGTTTTATCCTGCAATCCATGAACCAGTTTAGTAGCCCTTCTCTGAACCCTCTCTAAGGTATCAATATCCTTCTGAAGATACGGTCTCCAGTACTACGTACAATACTCCAAGTGAGGTACCAGTGTTCTGTACAATGGCATGAGCACTTCCCTCTTTCTACTGCTAATACCTCTTCCTATACAACCAAGCATTCTGCACATTGGCACAGCCTCACTGCTTAATACAACCCACATTGGCACAGCCTCACTGTGACACACAGACAGACATACCGACACACACACACATAAAGACGGTGTTCCTCACACCCCACAGTCACACTGCCTCACTTCATATATACACGCCCCACTCAAATACACTGCCTCATTACATAAAAACACCCCACCATTCAAACACACTGCTTCACTGCATAAATACACCCCACTATTCAAACACTAGTTCACTGCATAAATACAGCCCACAATCACACACTGCAAAAATACACCTCACAATTCAAACACACTGCATTACTGCATAAATACACCCCACATTCACACACTGCATAAATACAAACCACTCTACACTATACACCGATATTCATAAACTGAAATAAAAATGACAGACACATAAAGGACTTCAAGTGATTTGTGTGTTTGGAGTGTTCCTTTAACACTGGGGTACATCCATGGCTGGACCATGTGAAATTGGCTTGAGGAGGCCCACAGTCTAAAGTCCAGGATGCTGTCAGTCTGGCAGTGTATGACTATAGTGTTCCTTTAAATAAAACTGTGGCCAAGCCCTTCCCACTTAGTGAAATATAATGTCACTTAATGGAAATATCCAGGCATTAACAAAGATGGGCAGTTCAGTTTAGTCTATTTGTAAAATGAACCATGAATGTAGTACAAAAGCATCGTATATGAACACGGATATCCACCTAACCTAAACACAAACAAGTTATAAATATAGGAAGTCAAGCAGTCTCTAGTGAATATAATAATAATTATAAATGAGAGAACTGAAAGAACTTGCAAATCTCAATGCACTTTTCCTGCTAAGACATTTTAAAACATAAATTTAACATATTGCGTAAAAAATGATATGAACTTCCTGACTGAAAAACAAGACAGTTATGGAGTGAAAAAAAAACCTTGCTAATTTGTCTAATCCAACATTTTATACATACCCAACATCACAATTTCAGAGACATGAGTTGACTTAGACCAGATGTACCCATACTTTGGAACATGTCTTTTATTAAACATAAAATCAGCGAGTGAAGATTTAGATAAACAATTTATAAAGTTTCCCATCCAGCCATATCAGTCAAGTGTTGTCTTTGTGTGGAAGATACAAGCCCATGTTTGCAATGTCTGACCGTGCTTAGCATTGTTTGACTTAGCAGTACACATGTAGCCACTGTGTAAAATCTATATTCCAAAGGTTGCATTCCCTGTCAGTTAGGGATAATACAAATTAGCTATTGGCGTTGATACTTTAGGTAATGACTTGTTTTTCCATAGTCTATACAAGCTCCCATGGCCAGTCATTTCACGTCAATCCAACATTCCACAATCCCACAAATTAAAGTAACACAGCTGCCCTTTTGAAACAAAGCAAAAGCAGAGGTCAGACCTCATACAAAGGCTGACAAAACTCCAGAACAAAAACACAAAATAGAAGACATTATTAAGCTGTCATCTATTGTGTAAGTATATGCAAACTGCAGACTCCCTTATTGCACCTAGATATTCACTAATGCTGGGTTACAAAAGGATTTGGCCAGTCGAGATTGTCATATTTACATAGCTCTGTGATCACTAAAATGAATGAAGTGCCAGTAACAGTGACGGCTTAGGCTGGTAACTAGTGAAAAAATATCCAAAAGTAAACTTTATTTTCAATAAAAGTCACTGTTTACAGATAGATGTTTATACAGCATGCCCCATGCATCCAGTTACTAACGAAAAAGGACTGATGGAAAAAATAGCAACTTGTGTTATATATAATATAAAAAAAAAATATTTTATAGACTAGTCACTAATGATGATAACAAAATGTGAAATATGTAAAATAAAACCAAAATGATTAATAAATTGTGTGATAATCACAGCATCATAAAAATTCAATCCCTTTGAAAAAAAAGTTAGTAAGGTTGTAAGTAAGGCACAAACTGTGCAAAGTAAAATTACATTTATACCTGGCACAATTAAAATAATTTCTCTAAGCATTGAGTAAGGGCTACTGAATGAGGTAAATTTTAGGCCCGAAGGCCGAGTAGGACAGTTCTCCAGGGCATTTAATTTTACAATTCAGCCATTCTGATCTAAATTTTACAAGATATCTTAACTTACCCCTAAGAGACAATCAGCCACGTAAGTTTTTTATATATCCAAAAAAGGTTAATTTTCTGCAATCCACATATGAGTAAAAAAAACCATATTCTGTACAATGGTTTAAAGACACGTAAAAATCATAACAAAATTAGGCGAACAAGGACAAGAGGTAACTAGGTGACTTGTCCTGCTCAGACAACTATATCATTCATGTTTTGCCACTAATACGAGTTTAAATCCATTAACGAGCAAAGGGTTAGGTAAATCCATTTATATTATATCACGTCCTGCACCTGGTTCCCAAGGGGTTAAATGCTGGCACTCAGTGGGTTAAGTGATGAAGCATATTTTGTCCACACTATCTAATACCTACAAATTTAACCATATGGTTACCTGAGGATTTAGCAATGTATGGCTCTTTGATCTATTCTGCAATTATTGAAAATATAATTTTTATTCAAGACTCGCAGCTTTAAGACATCATAGTAACTATTTTACATCCTTGGAATAGATCATTTTTGACACAGGTTCTCCTGTTCACTAACTTTACTGAAAAATAAAGAAAAATAATTGAATATATGCTATTTTAAGAAAAATACAAATAAAAATAATAATAAAAAAAAAATCTTTGGAAAATCAGAAATATTATATGGAAGACACTATGATTATTAAAAAAAATAAGAATAATAGACATTGTATACCGACTTCATCAGAGCATTATTATTATTGTTATTTATTTTATTTTTTTAAGTTTTTCTTTTATAAGGACATGGTACATAGATAATCAATAGCTAACTGCCCAACACGGGATGAAAGAATGTCTAAAAACTAAAGTACATTATGCCAAATCAGTATTACATATTTCACAAATGTTTCAAAGAAAGTAAAAAGCACAGAAGAAAGTAGTACCTAAACTCTAGGGCATATTAGAAACTAAACCAGGAGTTGTGACAAGTTCTCAACTGAAATTTTAAAATAATTTATAACGGAATTTCAAATTGTAGTCAAAAGAGGCAAATTAATGTCAGAATGCTATACAAAGGCCAAAATAGTGAGATAGTATTGCTCATTTTCTGTGTGGATTGTTGTAGCCCTGTGTATTATAATAGATTAAACCCTTACAGCAACATTGGGTTAAATAATAACTGATTTGGAGAAATTATTTAACTCTTGCCGTTCAGATTTAGGTTGTTGAAATTTAGAGTTTGGTGAATAACTCTGCATCTGTACACGGAGCAAACATATTAAATATGACAACTATGTTCTCTGCTCTGTCATAAATGACAAAAACATTTTATTAATAAATCCTAATATAGAATTGATATCTGCTTTATTTAACTGTACGCAAAATTACAAATATTATGTCAAAATATATCTGAACATTTCTGCTTAAAATACACTACAAGTATGAATGGTGATGTTTTAAATGAATACATTAAGTACTGTAACCAAAATTAATTTTGTCCATTAAAAAAAAAAAAGTTTAAAAAAATATTATAAATCAGTGGTTTCATTAAAGTTCCTATGATTTATTTAATTCCTCAATTACAAGCATATGGGTAAAATTATGCAAAGAAAAAAAATTACCTTGTAAATTATCTGTTATCTGACAGATTATGAGATTAAAACCATAACTATCCTATCCACATCCTGATTCCTAAATTGTAATATTTTGGTCTTTTTCCTTCCTTGTTATCTATGTCTGTTGTTGCCCATGATAACTCTCTTTCTCTTTTCACTCAGTCTGGCTTCATGATATAACATGGCACTTCACAAAGTAACAGTTCCACAGCATGAAACTTAGAGCTAGAGATTCCATTGCAAGTGTTACGAGAAGCAGTCCAGAGTTTTTAAATCACTGCATCCTTTATGGATGTCTGGTTGATCCTGGCATTCAGCCTTTTTCCACGCTACGTAAAACGAGTTTATTCCTACTGCTGAGAGATGTTTCATTTAAAAGTTATTACAACTTAAAAATAAGTTTGCCTGACTGCAGTGTGCTTCACGGCCTTTCTGATTGATGAGGGCGCTGTTAGCTGTCATTGCCTACAGGAGAACCTGATGCGTGTCCACACCCCACCCAAAATCTCCCCCAAAAATTTTATATTACATATACGTCATTATGAAAACGTGGCATCTCCCAGCTCTCGTAGGTCTATCCATTTATTGAACAAAGAGTTGGTAAAATATATATTTTTTTTAAAAATAGAGAGATTTCTACACCTCAATACCTGATCATTAATTTCTACAAAATGAATTTTGTAAGTTATTCAATATTATGTGATCAAACATATAATTATACACTCGTCTAAAGCGAGATTTTCTTTGCTCACTTTTTCCCCAAAAAATAATACAAATGAGCTGATTGCAAATAAAAAAAAAAAATCTATATATATATATATACGCATACACAATACATGCACACTGCACATTGTAGAATTGAAAAAGAAACATTATTTTTGTTTTAAAAAAAGCAGAGGTTCTTTTAAGAACAGTAGCAACTAAATTAGCCCAGAGATCGAATGGTTAACATGTTTTATGAATTAATGTACTAAATTGCCTTCCCCTTAGGCACCTTGGTGGTTTAGAGTAGTTAAATATACATATTGATGTTATTTGTCATTATAAGATTTAAAGGCCGAATAAAGAGCAATCCGTTTTAAAGACTGAAATTATAGAATTAGCAGCACAGAATAGAAGAAGCATGAAGCAAATGCCAAATATGATTACAGTAAATAACTAACTGCTCATATCAGACGGGCTCAGACAATTGCATTACTTCATTTCCTTAACCTTTATTGCTCGGGAGACTTTACTCCAAGACCTTGAGTATGGCTGATCTGGTAAGAAGGAAGCTACAACGCTGGTGAGCAGCTAATATGTAACGGATGTAGGCATGTTTTACTAACAAAATCAGAGCAGACCAGAATGTGGTAACTTTCCCTTTTATAAGCATGTCATAACATTTGATGGGCAATTACTGCAAAATGCAAACAGTCGGTTTGAAAGAGTCTGCCATTCTATCCCGTGTAAGTCAGAGAGAGACAATATCACAATGTCTGTCCTGGCAATTTAGTATAGAAAATGGATTTTCAAAATTTTATATTACCGATACATATGAAAAAGATGCACATGAATAAATAGAGAATTAAACAAAAAAAAAAAGTTTTTTTGTTCCAAATTTTGAACCATATTTTTTAGGTTTTGTTTTTAATTATATATTAAATGCATTACATTATAAATCACTTGCGTCTAGAATATAATTACCATCATTTTCTCTTTTTAACTACTGGCTCAAGACAGCAATACACTGAAAATGATTTAGCCTGACTCATGTACAAAAATGCTGCCAAAATCGGAAGACAGAGAAGGAGGCACGGTAAATTCACACATTTCCAAAATGCCCCGAGAGTGTATAATGGGTGTAATCGCTGCCATTTAAAAATATTGTATTACAAATATTTTAACAAAAATGTTTAAAACATTTCACCCTGACTACCAATAGCTTTGCCTTTATTGATTAAAATCTATCATAAAATATTTATTAAAAGAACTATTTTTCTTTAGCAGTTGGTCCATGTTAATGATTTTTGTGCAAACTAATAAGTGGGCAAACTAGTGAGCTGAGTAAGCCCTAGGCTCCAAAAAGGGCACGGCCTTATCTGTAATTTTGTCTACACCTAGCAGCCAAATACCGTACACTCCATAGCCACCATAGTTTATTGCAGTGGTTGTGATGCAAGATGATATAGGAGCAGTAACTTCACTTTCTGTCAAAATGTTGACAGGTGGTTAGTGAATAATATACAGAATTCCCCACCACCCAAAGCCCATCAATGAAAGCCTCAATATAATATTTTTGGACAGGCCTTTCAAACTATCACAATCTGTTCTAAAAACGTTTCAAATGATTTATCTACAGAAGACACTATTGAAGTCTATGGGAATTTTTGGAGATAAATCATTTGAAACATTTTTCTAGCACATTGTGATTACTTAAAATGCTTATCCAAGAATATTAAAATTGAGGCCATAGCTCGCAGAACCATGAAATGTCTCTCTCATCAATCATCCAAGTGTTTTATTCCTTCTTGTATCAATCAAGGCTGGAAGGATCAACATGGTCTTGCTTGATACAGGAAGCATTTCCCACCCAGACATCCTGCAAAATAATTTTTGAGCTAAATATGGTAAAAATCGGAGCTGCAATCAGCTTCTACCTGCTGCAGTTTGCCATTTTGCATCAGCCGCCACTCACACAGACTGATGGGAAAATGCATTCTTTTATGTGATTTTCAGCAAATACCAATAGCATCTCAATGCACAGATTGAAGAAGATCTATCGAGGTCCTCTAGGTTCTTCCACAAATCCTGGTGTCATACTCTTGCACATCGGTGAGCGTTCAAAGATGACGTAGCTCAGGGTAGATTCATCTCATCTATTAGGAACTAAAAATTGGACAATGGCTGGTGTGTGGAGGGAGAGTTTAGGTAGGTATTCCAACTCTTCACTCAGCTGCCAACATGCAAGTGGACAAGACATGTTGGGGGGGGGTACTGCATAGTATTCAAACTAGATAATTTCACGGTGTCCCTAATGTAGTTAATAAATCGAAGGAGGAGAGCACTCACTGGACTTACTGCTCTCCTTTGATTTATTTTATTATTGTGGCCAGGGATTTGGCACCATATAGCAACATCAAGTACGTTGATCCAGTTATTTGTAATATAGATACATACACACACTCATATAGCCTTGAGAGTTATAGAGTATATCTACATTAGAATATTTCTGTGTATGTGAACAAATGATTCACACTCTACTACACATCGGCATTTATCTGAATTCATAGCAATTAGAAACATATTTCCCAACACTGACTTAAAAAAAAGCAGAATGATTGAAAAAATGCTTCGCTACTGGCACACACTGAAGGAGTGCCCAACAAGAGAATGTGTCAACCCTGTGCACATAACCAGCCAACCCAACCTGTACATGTACAGAACACTACAGACAGTGGGAGAAAGGTTGGTCTAGTGTAATTATTAAGAACATTAAGAATGTACTGCTTTATCAGTAGTGCTACATATCTTATTCAGACAAACGGACAAAGCTTCCGATCAGTTTTGGTTGCTATTTGCTCGGTTTTCTTTTTTGTTGTTGTTGTTTGTACACTGTAAACTAAAATGTAGAAATATTGGACAATTGCACCAAGTATTGTGAGCAATGTGAGTAGTTCTGCAGTCTAATATGAGGGCTAGCAACATTGCAGGCGATAATATTACAGTAGCCTGCTGGTATTTTTCACATTGCAGTACTTGATGTAGAACATTCGTGTCAGATTTATGGGACTTATTACATTGTTTGTATGAACTCCAGTTGATCTATACTGTAAATCTGTTACCCATGAATGAGCTATATTTGTGTGAGAATCCTCTTCAAACATGCTGCCACTATGCAATAAATAACAGACTAGTTAAAAAAAAAATGTGTGTATTGAAGGCCTATTCATACACGCATGCATGCAAAGAACTTAAATCGCAAGTCTAATAACAGATATAGGAGATTGCCATGTTAGCATGAGTAGATTAATTTAGGAAATGCACATTCACCTTGGTTTTATTATATAGGTCTGGGATCTGAACAAACCATTTGGTTTGCGTTATTGTATATTAGACTCTTTTCTCTTACAAACTGAATTAGTGTCAGATTATGGCAATTGGAATGGTTAGTAATTACTTGTATCTCTACTGTAATCTTAACATTTTTGTTGACAAAATAATGCTGCACATTGTTAATGCTAGGGAATACGACGAGAATACATTATAGTGAAAAGCAAAGTAATCCATCAGGTAGGAAGCTAGGAAGGACTTTGTAGGTTTGCATGTGTGAAGTACAGGCAGAGGGACCTATTCATTAACATTTGTTTACTGACAACCAGCATTCACAATTTAGCATGAATTACATAATATAATAAAAAACAATTTTTTCAAAATGATTTTGGACTGAATTTTGCAAGTCACTTGTAAGCTTGACATTTTACTGCTTAGTAGACAGAACCACTGAGTAATAGAGATATATTGCAAACTGTAACAGAGGTAAGCAATAACTTGCTTTAAATTCTACAATAGTAGAGGGAGATTTAGCAAGCCATGGAATGCTGAAAATATATTTTTTTACTCTATAGAATATTTTTAGCACCTAGAAAATATGCTTCCTAATTTCTAATAAAATAAAGCATTTCTTTATGTACTCTCCTGTTGATCTTCTGTGCTAAATAAAAACCCAAGCATATATAATAAGGAGAGTAAAATGCTAATAAAAGAAATCCAAGCATTTATATATATTAAAATCAAATTATTTTAATACAGAAATTCTGCTTATTACAGTTTGTCAAATTACCTAAACCAGCAGTTGCTGAAAGATAGATCCCACACTGCTTTTTAACTACAACTCAATCATCCTTCGCAAAAGCAAAGCATCATGGGGGCTGGGGGATATACTTTCTGACTATTCCTGGCCTAACTGTATTAATGGTGGGAGCCTTATCCCACAACACAGCACTGATTCAGCCCTGTAGAACTGCATTTTTTATAACTGAACATTTCAAAAGAGGAACACACAATCAGCCTCATAAAATGTTTTTATATTGACAAATCACAAATCAAAGGGAACAGTGTATATTTCATAAAACTAATGATGTAAGAATGATTCATTACATATTATGTATTCTTAGCACGGCCGGTTATCATGCTAGAACTAAGTTAGTATTTTTTTATTTATATTTTTAAAGAAATAAATTAACTTTCAAATTGGAAAACAAAAGTGCAGCCTGACAGAGAAGACTATTGGTTTAGTTGATACATAGCAACTGGGAGGCAATTAGCAGACTGCTAAGCCTTGTGTTACAATAACTCAGTGACCCAAATCCTCCTCTTCCCAAATGCCCCTCATTATTAAATCTGCTTTAATGAACAACCCTGTAAACCACATAGATTTCCATTTTAATAGATGTGCACCTGCCTATCACAATAGCTTTTTAGAAAGGAATGCATGAAACTCAAGCAATGCAGAAACGTACTGTCTTAAGTGTACAAAGAAAAAAACAAACAAAATGGACTGGAGTTATTCAAATGTCTACCATAAAGAAAAAAAAAAAGATAATAATAATAAATAAATGAAATACCAATACATAAAGCTCTGCAATATTCATCTTGACTATACAGATTCTCTATAATAAATCATGTATTAAGCATTACATTTTTATTTTATGTTTTTTTAAATTATACATTCTACTTTTGATATGCTTCCACAATAAACCTTTTTAAACACGTTTTTTTTTTTTTTTATAACAGGCCAATGCATGCAATAATGAAAGCAAGGTTATGAGATCTGCATTTTCTAGATCCCACGTTTTGCTAAGGGATATATTCATTTGAACAGTGATTTGTGATGACCTGGCTACTGAGCTTCAGAACGTGGGCCAAAGTGGGCAAGGTGGGAAAAAAAGTTCTCCAATTTAGCTGTGTGACAGATGTATTATTCCAACTTATAACTTTGAAAGATAATCATCAACGTACCACATCGCTTGAATTTGTGAATAAAGCGCTCTGTAATGATAAGTCAGGATCCAATACACCTTTAAGATATTCACAGAAGTTCCTTTACAGGGACACAGTCTGGTGTTGAATTGGCTTTCTTTCTAGTGATTGCTATCCACCTGTGACTTTTTAGCCATTAACATTAATGTAAACAAAAGATATTTTAAGATTTTCACAAGTCAAAATAACAATACCACTTACATAAAAATGTAAATGTATCCATATCTCATGAACTGAAAGCAGCAAATGGTTAAAAATCTATTCCAAATTAATATTTAAAAGCACATACGCATATATTTCTGCCCCAAAAAGTAATAAAGAAATGTCACTTATAAGAAAACTATATTTTCAATTTCTAGAAAATAATTTGCATTCTAACAGGATTCTGAACACAATCAAAGGTGAAGCATGTCTTAACTGTTTTGGTGACATTTGTCAGAATGCAGGTCTTGAAATGAAAAGGTTACGTTAGCTTAGAAAGTTCTATGACAGCAAAAATCCCAATGTAGTTTGTCTTATTTGTAAACAATACTACTGCACATGTCTGTTTGACGCCAGTTCTTGAGGCAGATTTGCCACCACCTATGTTATGGAGACAATGTGTAATTTGCAAATGCTAATTGATGCTATAATTGCTAAGCCTTGAATCTAGCAACAATAATGCCTTTCTAATGTATCTTGTCTAATTCTATTGGTTGTGACAATACTGCTCACGCTGAGAAAAAAAAATAGTTTTTTTTTTCTTTTGCAAGTCATGTTTTCCAACCCTAGTTCAAGATGGTTATCACAAAAGTGTGTGTATCTGTCTGTTTTCTGTTACCGTGATGCTTGCCTTTCAATAAGGACATATTAACAAGTCTGTTTGGCACTGCGGGTTGTTAGTTATGTGTTCTGCTAGCTTTTTTGGGGGGGGGTGGGAGGGGGGTAGTTTTTTTTACACGTATAAATTGAATGAATTTAATTCTAGCATGGGCAAAAAAAACTATTTTAGTTAATATGCTCTGCTTTGCCAAAATAAAATATTTTTGAGTCCTCTACTGTTTGTAGAATTCAGACATGACTAATTTATAATACTCACAGAGTTAGAAAGAATGATGTCCAGACGTTCATTGAACCTAATAACATTTAAGGTCACACCCTACCCTGTCAAGTGATATATATCATAATGTGCACTCTGATATAAATTACTGCCTATGTTATTAATGTGATTTTAAAGGCTGCTATAAGGAAAGATATATAACGTATGTGCAAAACACACACGTATTAATATTAAGTGATTTATTAAACAGAATATATATATATATATATATATATATACATATATATCCTCCATCTCTTTTGTGGTCTGTGTATATTTTTCTGTCTTTTTCCTCAATTGAGAGAGAGATACTAATATATATTCCACTTTAGAGTTTGCTATTTCTAATCAGTTTAAAACTAATACGTTTTTAGAACAAAATAGGTTCTTCAAAGAAATTAAAAGTGTTTATGAAAATAACCATAAACCAATTTAAGGATTAATGCATGCACCTAGATTATTGGTTTGGTACATGGCCTTCAGTGGATTCAGTACTGAATGTATTTAAGTGTCAGTGCAGCTCAACACTGAGTCTGTGTTCAGATACACACGTAACAAGGGGTTGTCAAGCACAGATGCACAAAAATAAATGTATAATATAATAATTTTATATCATGATTTTCCCCGCAAAGGGTCCCAGAAGCACTTCGGAGCAAATTTACAAACATATCGGGTTAAAAATTAATGGTCTTATTGATGTTATTTTTACCAAACTTAACAGTACTTATTTTATCAACATCATAAGAGTGATAAGAGTTTACATCCTTCAAGCTTGAACAAGTTCTATAGCTGGTGGATTAACCAACTGAGCTACCGCTAGGAATTTATGGTTGTACCATGCTAAACCAGCCACAACAGTATATTACAAAAGTCCCAACCTGTTTTTTTTAATATATTAAAAATTAAATATACAAATACATAAAATTTAAATATTTTTGATAATATTATTTTAAGTTAGGAATAGAGCAGAGGGAATAAAAATAAAATCAGACACAAAATTGCTACAAGTACATTCTATCAAACATCGGAATTTACCAATGACTGGTATTTATGGAGAGAATTCCGCAAAATTTGTCATCTGCTTGGCCAACCGTAGAATAATATATTGTATGATGATAAATGTACGCTGATTGCACGTAAAAATAGTGTAATATGATTAAAACACAATGTCAAATCAAGTTAGCAATTGAGTATTAACAATGACATAGTTGTTTCTGGTCAAGGAAATGGGTCCACAAAATATTTTCATAATTATCAACAGTGTTAAAGATTCTACAAGGGATTTTTGCTAAGCACACAGATACCGTTGTTCCTGTTTACAAAGCCTAGTCTTCATTTACACTTCTGAGAAGGTTAAATGAAACCAGTCCAGAATTTCTGCTTACTTTTTCATTTTGTTCATGATTTCAAACCCCTGCAATTGTCTTTTACAAATATCTTGTAGTCTAATCCATTCAAAAACAAACAGGATTATTGACTAAAAGTGTGAATTGTTACGAATTAAGTACATTTCAAATAACAGACAAAAATAGCAGCAGCAAAAAAAAAAAAATATTTCTTAACTTATTGGAAAATTTTTCCAAGTCACATATATATTCAGTTTGACTATATTTCTCCCCCAATTTTTAAAATTCACTCTCAATTCCTGACGATTCATACTTTCGAAAAAACCCTGACAGTCATAACTTATCCACAAAATACAAACTAGCACAACGTAGGCCCGAATTCAACAAATGTCCTCCATATTGGGGTATTATGTTATGATAATAAAATCCATAATATAACAATCCTCTAGAATGTAAGCTCATTAAGCAGGGCCCTCCACCTCTCTATCTCTGTACGTCCATATGTCTGGTTACAATTACATGTCTGTTAGTCCACCCATTATACAGCGCTACAGAATCTGATGGCGCTATATAAATAATAAAATAATAATAATAACAATGGGGTCTATTTATGAAACAGCACCTTGCACTGACAATAAAAAAAGGCCCAACAATCATTTCTGGGGAAATATCTACCTTTGCTGCTTTGTAGATTTTATCAAACCCTGTTACTTTAGCAGTTTTACAAGTTGGTCCTCAGGTCAACAAATGTCTCTATTTAGTGAATAATCCCTATTAATTTTCCCTTCCTACACCATCCCATTAGTTATTTCTCCAGTATGGAATCCATACACCATATCCATGTATGTACAAGTACAGAAATCATAACCAATAGGCTAAATGTGTTTCATATCTACGGTTTACAATATGCGCCTGGTACATGTGATCAAATGTTATTTTGCTGTAAAAAAAAGCATAAAATGTTCTTTGTCACTGTCAGACATGAACCACACAAGGTTCAAAGATAGTAAATAAAACTGAACCTGGTTTAATTCAAAGGAACTCTAGACATCATAACATGTTTATATATGCATAATACAATTCCCATTAGTAGGACTATTTTAACTATATGAGTACCAAATAAATCTACAAGTACAAATCATCTATTGCTTATTGTTTCTTACACTCTATAAAGTTTAACCCTTCAAGTGCCAAAGGGAAAGACAAAATCTAGCACCCATCGCCCCCTTACTGTTAAAAATAAACCACTGCTCTGCATTAACACCTCTGTAAACAAAATACTTTGGATATCTAGTAACAATGTCATGGAGACACATCGCCCAGCATACAGAAACTAATCACCAGCTGACAAACATGCAGATTAAACATTTAATTATTCCTGTATCTCCTTACTTAGTTTTCAATGTATTTATCGCAATGCTAGATTTCGTTTTCATAGATAACCCAATAACAAATTATACTGCTCCATTTGAAAGCTGATTTGCAGTAAATTAAATATATATTCAAACTGTAAAAGCCTTTGCCATTGCATTTAATTCCTGCATGTTTATTAGGTCCCCAGCAACATGTGATCGCATTCTAATTAAAAGATTTTGATTTTTTTTTTACCTGGAGTATATTAGGGTGCTGAAGCCTTTGCAATAAAATCATTTCTTTGACAATCTTGAAGGATGCTAATCTGTAGCAATCTTCTAAATTCCTGTATAGTTGGACACAATTCTGGATGTCGTGCCCCCCAAAATCCACTGATTTCAATGCCACTGATACTGTATCATTCAGGACCAACTTGTACACAGCTTTGGTGTAACCAGAGCCTAGATAGCGGACATTGCTTCCATTAGTAATATCTTGGCAGCTCAGCAAGGGTGGCCGTAGAGACACGTCTATTTTCGAGCTGAGAGGTGACACAGGGGACAGGTCAGGGATGGAACTCTTGGAATTCTCAGGTTTGTGAACGTTCTCAGAAGACCTCTGAGCCAGGTCCATGAGTCTCCTCTCCAAGGGTCTGAGAAGAAGCCTAACTGTGGCTGACACTGGAGCCTGATGCTCTCTATAGCGGATCACCTCCTTATAGCGCTCTTGGAGCTGTTTGAGCAAGTCCTGGGAGCTCCCCTTGCCTTGTCTTGATGCTGCAATGAGGGGCACAGGGGTGACCCCATTCTGGAGCTGCTGCTGGTGGTGGTCAAAGCCTGGCACACACAGCAGATTGAGCAAAGTGCCAAGCAAGAAAGCCAGGCAAAAGCCAGCTGCCAGAGCAAGTTTCTTCCTCCTCATGATCCCCAGGCTGAGCTCTCCTCCACCAGGTTCCCAGCCTTGGGCAGTCCGTCTGATCAGATGAAGGGATGAGGGCAGCACAGGTCCCCTCTCTCTGTGCCCGCTGGACCTCACCCATATAAGGAAGACCCGTGTGACACTTGAGTCGGCGCTTTTAAACTTGCAAAGTGCTCCATGAGCTCAGCCCCCCTGCAGCCAGCCCAGAGCCCTGCTCCTGGCCCGTGACGTCACTTGATGGGCAGCATCACTCCTTCCAGTGGACCAAAGAGGCTCTCTGTGCAGCAAAGGCGTGTGGGGCGTGTAGTTTCCTGCAGCTGTAGTGCTCAGGTTATCAGATAGGCTGCTAGCCTTGCTGTCATTCCCCAGCACGCTGGTGGGTGCAAGCTGTGCAGCTACCAGTGTCCTCCTGCTGGAGTGGGCTCCCTGCCTCATCTCTGTGAGGGAGCACTCAGGCTGTGAAAGGAGGGAGGGGGAAGGAGGGGCTGAGTGTGGCTGCTTAAAGTCCTGAAAGGACAATAAATCACCCCTGCTTATCTCCCCTGCATGAATAATTCTAACCCTTTATTTTACAAAAAGCAGGCATTGCCTTACAATCAATAAATAGCAAGTCTACATTTGTTCCTAAGCACCAATTTGATCTTTTTTTTTTTTGCCATTTATTTACTGCCACCTGCCCATAATACATTCCTCCTCCTCATATATTCTTATTTAAATATATGTATTTTCATTAACACTTTCAATTTTTCAGAAATGACCACTGATTACTATCCCCATGGGACTGAAGCATCTCTGGGACTGAAAGGGTTAATATATATATATATATATATATATATATATATATATATATATATATATATATATATATATATATATATATATATATATATATATATGTATGTACACTTTTACTGGTGTGTGCCTTTATAGACTGCACGTATAGCTGGGTGGCCTGGCCTGCTCATGGGAACACAGCATTTAAGGTAATAGTATTATAGTACATTCTACTGGAGATGTAATATTTGTAATTTATCATAATTTCTTTTCTCCCTATTATATGCCACACATTTATACCCAGTCTGTGTGATCTATGCTCCGCTCCTGACCTTAGAATGTGCGTCTTTGTTAAAGGGTAGCAGTCGCAATACCTAAATTTCATTTACTGGTTGTGCTAGTAGTTTTGCTTGTAAATGTATAGATTTATTTTCTTTATTTACTTTCTCCCATCTGTAACTGAATTCTTTGGCATAGAGCGTAGGGAAGAAGAGCCCTCCAATAGCGGTCCTTCTGCTATCTGAACATAGCAACCACAGCACATATTCTGTGGTTGCTATGGTAACACAATGGCAGACACTGCCAGCGCTGAGTAGGGGGCATATTAATAAGGTGACGTCACACAGTTTAGACGCCAGCATGCTGACAATCAAGGAAGCAAGGTGACGTCACAGAGCAGGTTGGCTCTGCTTGGGGAAGTGTCCATAAGCAGGGCAAATCAAAGCAGACTGTGGAAGGGGCAAGCACAGACTGGAGATGGGTGCAATCTTACAGAAATCACCATATTTTATCATTCTCATGGGAATGGAGGGGTTACTACATGACCACTACACATATCCCTGGGGCTGAAAGAAATAATATGACGCACAATTGGGAGTATACATATATATATATATAAATATATATTTATATATATATATCCTTTCAATCAACCCTTCCTGTACCATGTGGAAGATAAAATGTAGGGTTCCTATGGAACCTAAACAGTTATGAAAGGAATTAAGCTGTTATAGTGCAAGGACGTCCCTGGCGCCAATTTACCTTTAAGGGTTAAATCCTTAACGAACAGTTTAACCCCAAATCTTCAATCCAGCACTGTTTAACTCTACCCCTCTCCATCCACTTTTTTCCCAATTCTTGAAACAGGAATCTTAGGACAGGGGCGCCGCCAATTGGCCTAAAGCGTTTGCTGACATTCTAAGCCAATCAGTAGCTCCCTATTCACAAAACCTTTTGAGAAATAATCATGTTTTTCTCAACCCGTTTTGCTACTGATCACCTTAGAACATCTAAGGAGCCCCTGTTCGAGGATATCCGTGGCTTCCTGTTTCAAGAATCAGGGAAAAGTAGGAGGGGAGCAGAGCTAAATGGTGCAGGATTTAAGACTTTGGGCTTAAAACCTTCATTAATGGGTTAACCCCTACAGGTAAGCTTGAGACATACTGACGCCATAACAACTTAATTCAGATGAAGTTGTTATGGTGCCCAAAGTTTTCTTTTAAATACACATATTAGTGAAAGTGTGTACATATTACACACACAAATCACACATTATATAGTAAAAATGGATGAGAAGAATAATTATTTTATCTCAAGGAGGTTATGAAAGAATAGTAAAAGACTGATAATTATATTTGCTCTTAAAAAATACAGAATTGCTTTATATTGATTTTAAGGGATATTAAATAGACTGCCTACTTTCTACAGCGAAATGGCTAAGGAGTTTACATGCATGGGCTATATCAGCAGAGGGAACCACAGGCTTTGTATCTCATCAGCAGTTTAATTATTTTACCTTTTCTGTCCTTTTTTTCTGTGTTTTCAATATATTCCTTTTCTTTTTCTTTTATTTTTAATTTAATCATTTAAGTCACTTAGACTGGAAATGTTTATTACTCATTTCTTCTTGATAAGTTTGTGGGATATGCATTGTATGGTGTTTTTTTTATTAATATCCCCCTGTGTTATATGAAGGATACTGTATGCTATGCACACTTGATGATGATAATTAAGCCTGCAATGGGTCTTTATTTGTTGAATGTTGTGTAAACACCGTGGTCAGGCAGGTTTGTGTACACTAGATTAGCTGGAGTGGTGATGCTTGTCCTATCTGATCGAATTTAATGGGTAATTTATTTAAATCCTCCCCTGAATGGATAAATCCTTTAACATTCATCAACCCAACCAATGATAACCTATTACAGTTAATACTAATTATAGTTCTTACATTCAAACTGAGGGGGAGCAGGATGCAAAGTAAACAACATTATACGATAGATAGATAGATAGATAGATAGATAGATAGATAGATTATTCTTTTATTTATATAGCGCCAGCAACTTCTGTAGTGCTGTACAATGGGTATAGATAGATAGAGATAGATGAATAGATATTTAGATAGATAATTATTATTTTATTATTTATATAGCGCCAGCAAATTCCGTAGCGCTGTAAATGGGTATAGATAGATAGTGAGAGATAGATAGATGGATGACTTTTTTTTTTAAATTTCATTTTCTTCATAAAATATTTTACCAGAAAAGGATACATTTAGATTTCTCTAATTTTTAAGCATGTCTTATGGGATATATATAAAGTGTGAAAGATAAAAACATGTCAGATTACAGGGTACAGTCAGAATGTTATCATTTTAACCAGGCATGTTATGTTACAAAAATAAATTATTATTGCATGTTTTATTTTTATGTATACATATGTTCTACACATGTACATAGATTTCTGAAAACTGTAAACACCTATGTTTATGATCATGGGAAATATCAAGGAATCAATTGCATGGATGCTGGGACTTACATTGTGTAACGCTTTCACTTCCAGAGAGATCTGCAAATCCTAGAATCTTATGTGTAATAATGTTACTTTTTTGTTTCTGTTTTCAGTGCTCACATTAACCCTGTCCTAACAGAGATATCTGCAGATCCTGGACTCTTATCTGCGATCAAGCTGGGATTGGTCTGTTTCCAGCCATAGAATTATTAACCCTTTTGGAAGGAGAAGCATGATCTTTTCAATTCAGAAACATCAGGGGATGCCAAAGGGGTTAGCCACAGCTGCCTTTGTATTTAAGATCTACTAGAATTTCCCTGCAGCAGCCTGCAGAGGTGAAGCTTTCCGACCACAATGTTTGGTGAGTTTACTGCAAGTGGTTAAAATGTAGCCTCTGGCACTGCAAGGGTTAAAGCGCAGGCACTGCACTGGTAAAAAGTGCAACTGATGTTCCTTTACAGAGAAAGAGATCACTCGCTGATAGTTTAGGATGGATAATTGTAGTCAAATGTCTGGAAGGATAAATCTATTCCTTTTAGAACTAAATCTACAAATCGTGGACTCTACATGGGGTAACCCTTGCCCTGCTGGAGATGTGAATCACAGGGGTGAGTGCTAATGACATGGCTATCCATCAAGCTGGCATTATAGTGCTGTTAGCAACTAATTAACACATACAATCAACTCAGGGACTTCACAAAGAAAAGAACATCAACAAGAGAAAGCAATAAAAGTCTTCAGGGAATTCCATGCTAAAGTTCATCTTGGTGAAAAGGAGGTGGCAGGCATCCACTGACTGAGGGCAAGTCATTCAATACATACACAGCGCATGGAGCTCTATGAGAGATCCTGCCATCCAGCCATTGGTTGCACAAATAATAATCCAGTCGGTGTACCACTCCATAGAACGTAGCAAATAGTAGAAAAAATATATTTAATAAAAATACAAATAGTACACAAAAATCAAAGAACACAGGCCCAAATATACAAAAACAAGTGAGCCGGCTAATGCATAGACCATATGATATCTTAAAGAATCAACCATTTTTTTATTTCTTGTTTAAAGGGACTCTATAGGCACCAAAACAACTTTAGATTAGTGAAGCAGTTTTGGTGTATAGATCATGCCTCTGCAGTTTCACTTCTCAAATCTCTGACATTTAGGCGTTAAATCACTGTGTTTATGTAGTCCTAGTCACTCCTTCCTGCATGTGACTTACACAGCCTTCCTAAACACTTCCTGTGAAGAGATATCTAATGTTTAAACTTACATTATTGCACAGTCTATTTAAATTAGAATTTATGATCTCCTGCTCGTTTAATAGCCATCTAGAGACTGCAGGAGCCTTCTTTGTGTGATTGAAGCTTAATTTACTGAACAATGGATAGAAATTTCTTAAATAAGTTAACATCTGAATGAATATGAAACAAATTTTTCATGCAGGCTATGTGAGTCATAGTCAAGAGAGGGGTGGCTAGGGTATAAACATAAACAGAACCAAAAGTGATTTAACTCCTAACTGGCAGATAATGTGTGACAGCAGAGGCATGATCTGTACACCCAAACTGCTTCAGTAAGCAAAAATTTTTTTGATGCATATAGTGTCCCTTTAAAGGGACTCTGTCGGTAGCCAGACCACTTTAGCTCATTGAAGTGGGCTGGGTGCTGTGACCCTTTTGCACTTAATGCTGCAATGTAAAAATTGCAGTTCCGGAGAACTGCACTGTTTACATTGCAGCTCTAAGTCTGCCCTCTGTGGCCTCTGCCACTAGAGGGCTTCAGGAATCTAAACTGACTTTTGGTCTATTATCTGACGCTGGACATTGGTGCTGGATTTAGGTAAGTGGCTGGAAGTGTTTTAACCCCTTCAGCCCCATGGGAGGGGGGACCTAAGGAAGGGGGAGTGGACCTATTAACCCTATAGTGCCAGAAAAACGGCATTGTTTTCCTGGCACTGTAACATCTCTGTAATGTTAGGTGTTGGGAGAAGTGATTGGATCAGTATGTGATCTAATGACCCCATTAGGTTTGAATATATTACAGAATACACATAGAAGGCTGTGCTTAGTTACAGAAATACGTATAAGTGTTCAATTTAATTTTGCATTGTTCTTCTGTTTTATGATTGACAGGTCATTTAAACTTATGTATATCTCACTCCATTTGGGAGAACTGTGCAAATAAGACATTGTAGAGCATGCAGTGTGCTAGATAATACATATTATTGCTTATAGACCCATGTTTACAGGTTTTAAAGGTCCACAAGAATTGCACTTTTCCTGAACATAAGTGTTTGGGGCCAAATTAAAACCAGTACAATGGCAGAGATTCAAAAGAGATTCAGTTGGAGATTGGTATTGTATCACATTCACAACCCCAAGGGATTCATGGGGGCTGATTATGATATGAATGTTTGTGGACTCATCTAATGTGATTGAGGGTGTAGTTTACTGAGTGTGATTGAGGCTGGCAATGGGTGAGTATGATAGGGTGTGGGGATTGGCTGAGTGTGATTGTGCGTTGAGTTGGCTGAGTGTGATTATGTAGGTGGTTGTCTCGGTGTGATTTTGTATGGAGGTGTCTGAGTGCAATTGTGTGTGGGCTTGGCTGAGTGTGATTGTGGGGATTTGCTCACTGTGATTGTGTGTGCAGTTCTCTGAGTGTGATTGTGTGTTGGGTTGGCTGAGTGTGATTATGTAGGTTGTTGTCTAGGTGTGATTTTGTATGGAGTTCTCTGAGTGTGATTTTGTGTGGGGTTGGCCGAATCTGATTGTTAGGATTCGCTCCGTATGATTGTATGTGGAGTTGTGTGAGTGTGATTGTGTGTAGAGTTATGTGAGAGTGTGTGTGGAGTTGGCTAAGTGTTTGTGAAATATTTACACCATAAAAAACGTGTTGTTTTTTTAAACCCCTCCATCCCTCTTCATGTGCTTACCTTTCTGCAAGGATGGGGTATAATTCTCCATGATCTAGTTCATGTCTGATCATTGGTGGTTCTCGAGTGCTGCTGGCTGCATACTTGGGGGAGCTCAAGGGGCCCAGTCGTAATAATAACTATTGTGACCCTAGTACATGTGTCGGAGCCGACAAGGTTGGTATAAAGACCCTTAATTGGTTCTTGAAAACGCATTACATATGGGAGCAGATTTTTTGGTACTTTCACTGTTGTTCATCAATCTAAGAATTATTATTTTTTGGTAAAAAAAAATATTTCTTAACTGTTTGAGCACTGGGTGCAATATATAATAGAGCTTGCAGTGGTCTTAGAGGTTAAATGAACCTTACTTTTTGTACCTCTTTTTTTTACAGCTCATTCAGCTTGTCAGTCTAATCACGACTCGGATTCCAGCAGTTGATGTTTAATTCACATAATGTGCGGGTGATAAGATTTATTTCAGGTAAACATGTAATCAATACATTGTGCTAATGTTACACTTTCCCAGAATACTCAGAAGAAGCAGAATTCATAGTTGTGCCGAGTTTGCAACTTTGTGAATAATACATTGCACAGACAAATGAAAATTATGATTTCATTGGATTAATTTCTTTTTGCATTGATTTACTTTTGGTAGTGATTAAAGTGGTTTCATCTTAAAGTAAATTAAAATATAATCTATATACATTAATATAACTAGCACAGTATATAGATACAATTGTATACCTTACAAAATACCAAGATGTATTTAAACCTAAAATAATATTTCACTTTTTGTGACCTACTTTTCACTTTGTAGGTTATTCACCGAGCTAAGAACTTTAGAGAACTAACAAGGGAATTTGAGGCTTAAATAGCTAAACTGGAAAAAAAAAATCCCCAACTATGCTAAACTTTACAACTTGGCTCTTTTGGTCTAACATTTACAATTCTTTTGTGAATAACTCATTTGTGTTTGTAAGAGTAGCTTAATCTACAAACACACATTTCTTAAGCTTTGTTTTTCCTATGTGGATAACAATAAACCTCTTTATCAGTCTGGTTTATTTAGTATAATTTTAGCCAAGCCGTGCAGATTGTATTGATGTAGATTGTTAATGCCAATCAAAGCATGAGCATAAAGTGTCATGTTTAACAAAAACGCCAGAGATAACATATACAAGGATTGATTTATGGATTTTATGAAGTTGCGGGTACAGGGAGGACAGGCAGTATGCCCATATTTATTAAGTAATATTGGCAGTAGAGTACATAGATTTTCTCTTATCGATCTCTGTTGGCAGTCAAGGTCCACAACGGAGGAGTAAAGGGATTATGAAAGAAAATTAGTTTAATTCAAACCCATTACATTTATTGTTACAGGAGTTTTAATATATTTTTCAACTTTTTGAAATATTCATCATTTCTAGTAAAAATAAATGAATAAATAAATAAATCCTTGGAATTTCATTGTAAAAAAGAAAAAATATGAAACAATTTGATCTATTTAAAGCCAGATTTTTAGAAACATATGGCAATGGTAACAGCTTCAAACTGCTTCTGCCCCACAGTTAGCCAATATCTTATGAAGGCTGGTGGATTAGGACTCTTTAAATTTGAAAGTTATCAGCCAATGTTCGGCTCATTTGGAGAACCACTGTAAAGTGTTATATCGGTGGTATCTGACTCCATCCAGGCTCCAGAAAATATTCCCCAATTCTACAAACTCTGTGTTGGTGTGGATGTGGGCAGACAGGTTCATATTCGAATATATGGTGGCATCACTGGCGGAACTACCGCGGTCGCAGGGGGTCGCAGCTGCTTCCGGGCCTGTCACTCCAGGGGGCCCAGCCACCCTGTAGACCCCTGCGACCGGGTGCCTGCCGCCATGTGTCACGGCCCTAGCCCGTGCTGTGCAAAACTTTACCAAAGTGGATAAAATAATGGTAAGCCAGGTCCTAATAGCTCCCACTATGGTAGTACCACGTTATTGGTAGTCTGACGTAGTTCCTGCTATTAAAGATGTATTAACATTGGCGTTAGAGAATAAGTGTTTTTCTCAGAATGCCATCAAGCACAACAGAATCATTAACTTATCACTGGAAAATATGGGATGATAATATCAAACAAAAATACTCTTTATGTAGACATTTTTGCTGGATTGTAGCTTATGCACCTCTCCTTTTACTCTTGCTCTGTTCGTATACCCAACGTATACTATTTATGTGTAATATTGTAACATTTATGTTTTATTTCTTTTAAGCAAGTATATTTGGTTTTCATTCACTTTGTTGTGATAGACCATTTATTACACTTTGTATGCAATTTTATATTTTATTTGTTCCTGGAACACCTAACTTCAGATCTGGCCAACTTTTTACCAACATATCGCTGGTGGGAATTATACCACCTATGCGCATATATTTGAGCGACCTAACGCTCTACCAAATGTGGGTATAATACATTTTTGCACTGCATCACATATTTATGTTTACAGTGAGCACTATTGGATATTTTCTTTTTCTTTCATATACCTATCGGTACAAGATATTCTCCTTGTAAGTTATATCCATTAGTGGGGATTATACTGTGATGGATAGAAATACATGTAGGTAAAATGTCTGTTTGTTATATGTACCTGTGCTCATTCCTTACTCAAAATGGCAGCTAGAGCACCCCCTCCCATCGACCAAAACCTTGTGTAAAAGATGGTGTCTCCATCCGGGACTACATCCAAGATGATGACATCAACATCCTGGAGGAAGCACATGCAAATTAAGGACTTAACCCATTAAAAGCTTACAGAGAGAATAACGTAGATGCTTACTAATCATGTTTGCATGTGATGCATTACTTTGCCCATATAAGCGGCTGCCCCCTTCCCCTCAATACACTTCGAAGTTTTCATTTATCTGAACTTGTTGTCAGTGTGATTTCTTCAGTGTGCACGCTCCTCATTTTCAAAATCTGTACAGGAGAAGATACTCAGGCAGACACTTGCTCTGGTCCAAAACAATACCGCTGCAAGCAATCTTACTTAGAGCTAGTTTAAGCTCCATAACATGTGAGTGCTTCCTCATATACTACTGTTGTGAATCCTATTTTTCTGCCAAAACAGTCTGCACTATTATTTGTCACTTTGTGTCTCCCTATATATATTTGCAAGCACCTTAACCAAGAACCAACATTCCCCAAGAATCCAGAAACAGCTAGGATTGTGATATCTGGACTGTAAATATTTTGACTTTTAAAATATTTTTATTATTATATTATTCTATAATTTTACACCTTTTGTTGCAAACCTGTTTTGTATTTTATGTATACTATTTATCGCCAATGCATGTGTAGTACTTTTCTGATTTGAAAAGTGTTTTTCATAATGCATATGTTGTCAATTTTACAATGGATGGATGTTTTTTACACCTGTTTGTTTGACTTATTTGTATTTTTTTTTAAATTCTTTATTTTTGCAGGTGAGCAAGTTTAACACGTGTAAAATAATTTTATTTTTAAAGTTTATATTCAAGATCACTTCGGTGAGGAGAGGTCAGTATACATTAGCTTATGGACAAGTGTAGAGCATGGCAGACATCCGATACCACTGATCTTAACATATAGAGCATATCACGTATCTGGAGCGTGTACGTGTGTAGGCTGTGTGTCTGCCAATTGCCTGCTTGTATGACAATACTACCTGGAGAAGTACTCAGAGAGGTGTGTCTGGGCTGCCTGTCTATTAGTTAGTGTCGGTGCGTGTTCAGGCCCAATTGGGAATAAAGTGAGCTCCATGACCCCAAAGCTCAGGGGGGAGGGGGAGACTATGTGTGTGTTGGCACCTCATCCCGGAGCAGAGGAACCAGCTGGTGTGAAGATGGTGACATTGTTTAAATCCCACTGATGGGTGGGTCTGCCAGTCCCGGTTGCCTGCATGGGTGGTTATCCCCAGTGCTAGTAAAAAGCTGTCTGCATCGGACGGAGATGTCAGCTTGTGGCTTGTGTCATTTTGCTCGACCATTAGGGATCGTGAGGGCCCCCACTTGTAAGGGATGTTTGCCGCTCTCAGCTGGCTGGTCACCTCCTTAAATGTAGTGTGCCATTGCAACATTGTTCTGCTGAGGTCGTGGTAAAAGCTCAAGGCATGTTGCTCAAATATAAATGGTGTCTAAACCTTGACCTGTGAGAGGAAGGTGTCCTTGTCTGATCGTGACCTGAATCCCAGTATCACATCCCTGTGAGTCAGAATCTTGTTTCTAGGGCCTCCAGGTAGTCTGTATAGTCCATCATGCTGCAACCCTTTAGCTTGTTTGGGTGTCAAGGCTGCTGCAAACAGTCGTCTGATAAAGTGGGGTAGTTCTCCAGCATCAGGGATACTTCGAGTTTTCAGGTTGTGCTGGCGAGCCAGATCTTCCATGTGTGCCACTTTAGCACTTAGCGCTGCACAAGTGTTTGACACCTCCCGTAGGTGAGTATCAGTGGATTGTTGTTTAAGTCCAAGGTTTTGGACGGTGTCCTCCGTAGATTTAATTCTCCCTGCTAGCATGCCGAGGTCAGCTTTTAATGTTGCCATTTCAGAGGTAAAGAATGTTTTAATGTCCGTTACCATTGTGTGGATATCATTTTTTGTGACCCACTGTGGGTCAGGCTGCTTCTTAGGAGTGGCTTTGCCGCTGCGGGTTTGTGACAGATGATCAGCCAGGTCCTGCTCCTCGTCTTCCGAGGCTGGGTCAGAGCTGCCTGGTGAGTTGGGGAGTAGGTCCGCCATCTTAGGCTTACTCGGCTGTGAGAGCATGAGGCCGATATCACGGTTTTGTCCCCCACTTGGACCCCGAGTTTTACGGGACTGCTTCCCCATGGTTTCTCTCGGTGTGTGAGTTGGTTTGTGCCTCTGGAGGTTGTATAGGCGGTCGGTTTCCCGTTTCTTTGCCGGAGCTCAAAGTGCTTGCAATCGCTCAGCTGACTAGCTCCGCTATTTGTATTTTTTTTAATTCTGTGTTTCTATATATTTCATTGTGTAATGATGATTATTATTGTTAAAAATTATGATCTTTCAATAAAAAACATTTGAAAACATTAGGCATCTTCTTACATCATTGAGTCCAGCAGTAAATTTTTACTCTCGCAAATGCACCAGATTACACCATTTATGTGGTTCAAGATAAATTAGGTCAACAGTGGGTGAAGGCTGAGCTGTAAAAGAAGATGGTGGCACCAAGCAGTTCAGGTAAGTACAATATCTGTAATGGCACATTTAGCCTATTTTGCAAACACTGCAGTTTTATGAACAGATTCAGCTAAGTGATTTAAATAAATCTGTTGAAAGAAAAAATAAAAGACATGTAAATAAATATCACCAGCATCATAAATATATATGTGCAGCAAGGAGTAAAAGACAAAAGACTTCCTTGCACTTTAAATTATGCAAAGACCCCATTTTGTTATGAACGGCCTATCTAATGTAGGCCGTTGAAACATTAACATTGAATATTTGTGTAAAACAGCCAGGTAACAAAGTCTCCTAATTAATTACCAGATTTTATTATTAACATGACCTAAAGTCATGATTTTATTAATGACACAGGGGCGAGTATTATGTTTTCTCTTTCTTTATTTTCCCTCAGCAGCAAAAGAAAATATGAGAAAAAATCATCGATAAAAATACAACATAGCATAGCAACACTGCAAGCAACCAGGATCTAGTACAGTCTATAAAGGTGTGGTATTCCAAGACTCTTCCTTTTTCTTGCGTAGTCACACGAAGACCACTAATCCTGGAACCAAATAAAACCAACAGAACAGGAACCATTGAAATGAAAACTCCTTTATCCGGAAGTTACTTCGGAATGATAAACCAATGAAAACCGAAGATGGTAATAAGATAAATATGGTAATATTGAAAGTTCGTGACTCAGATTCAACAACGATCTATCTAGCCATAGTCATGACAATAAAATACTGGCAGTAGATACACCAGAGCATAAAACCCAGGTACTCACCACCTACCTGCGTGCGTGGCAATATTATTGTACTTACCAGAAACTACAGCTGGTATGACCAAATAGAAGGGAATATAAGTGAATCCACAGAGGGAAGGGTGGGTGGGAATAATACTCGCCTCCGTGTCATTAATAAAATCATGACTTTACGTCATGTTAATAGTAAAATTTGGTAATTTTATTAACGATATGGAGGCTCCTATTATACTATTTCAAAGCTGAGCAACAACTATAGAGGAAAAATGTTGCACTGGGCAAAATTTAAAATGACGAAATGTCGACTCATTCGACCAATCTGCAGCTCGTAGAATGTCTTCCAATCTATCAACTTCTGCCAAGGATAGCAATCGTTTAACCTGACGTGCCAAGGTAGGTGTGGCCATGGGCAGGTGAGGCACTCGAAAGTAGATGAACAGAGGTTCGAGTTGAGATGAACGTAACAATATCGTATGTCGTTCATATTCCTTAAGGCATAGAACTGGACAAAGGTTACATAGTTACATAGCTGAAAAGAGACTTGCATCCATCAAGTTCAGCCTTCCTCACATTTGTTTTTTGCTGTTGATCCAAAAGAAGGCAAAAAACCCAGTTTGAAGCACTTCAAATTTTGCAACAAGCTAGGAAAAAAAATCCTTCTTGACCCCAGAATGGCAGTCAGATTTATCCTTGGATCAAGCTGTTATTACCCTACATTGAAAGATTATATCCTTTAATAGTCTGTTTTTGCAAGTATGCATCTAATAGCGGTTTGAACATCTGTATGGACACTGATAATACCACTTCTTCAGGCAAGGGAATTCCACATCATGATTGTTCTTACAGTAAAAAAACCTTTCCTTTGCCTTAGACGAAATCTTCTTTCTTCCAGTCTAAACGCATGACCTTGTGTCCTATGTAAAGTCCGGTATGTGAATAGATTTCCACACAATGGTTTGTATTGGCCCCGAATATATTTGTATAATGTTATCATATCCCCTCTCAGGTGACTTTTTTTAAACTAAATAGGTTTAAATTTGTTAACTTTTCTTCATAGCTGATATGTTCCATTCCTTTTATTAATTTTGTAGCCCGCCTCTGCACTTTTTCTAGTGCCATAATATCCTTCTTTAGAACAGGTGCCCAAAATTGCACAGCATATTCAATATGTGGTCTTACCAGTGATTTATAAAGAGGCAAAATTCTATTCTCGTCCCGAGAATGAATGCTCTTTTTCATGCATGACAATACCTTACTGGCCTTGGCCTCTGCGGATTGACATTGCACATTGTTGCATAGTTTGTTGTCTATAACAATTCCCAAGTCCTTTTCGTGTGTTGTTATCCCTAATTCGTTTCAATTAAGGGTATACGTTGCTTATGTATTCTTTACGCCAAAGTGCATAACTTTGCATTTTTCAACATTAAATTTCATCTGCCCAGTCCCCCAGTCTATCTTGCTCACATTGTATTATTTTACAGAGTTTTGTGTCATCTGCAAACACTGAAACATGACTTTCAATGCTGTCTTCAAGATCATTTATAAACATGTTAAATAGGAGGTCCCAGAACAGAGCCCTGAGGGACAGCACTTGTCACCTCTGTCCAGCTTGAAAATAATTTACCATTCATGACAACTCTTTGTACTCTGTTTTTAAACCAATGTTCTACCCAAGAACAATCATTTCCATCTAGACCGATTTCCTTGAGTTTGAACACTAATCTGTTGTGTGGAACTGTATCAAATGCCTTGGCAAAATCCAAATAGATCACATCCACTGCAACACCCTGATCTATACTTCTACTTACTTCTTCGTAGAATGCAATCAAGTTAGTTTAACATGACCTGTGCTTCATAAAACCCTGCTGATTTTTGCTGATAACCATGTTCTTCTCAAGGAATTCTTGAATATTATCCCTTAATAACCTTTCAAATATTTTCCCAGACACAGGTCTATAATTTCCAGGCAAGGATTTTGAACCCTTTTTGAATATAAGAACCACATCTGCCTTCCTCCAATCCTTCGGAACACTTCCTGAAAGAAAAGACTCTTGAAAGATTAAAAACAGAGGTTCACTTATTTCTACACTTAGTTCCTTAAGTACTCGTGGATGGATACCATCAGGCACTGGAGCTTTGTTTATATTATCTTTCTTTAGTTTCTGCAGCACCTTGTCTTGAGTTAACCAATTACAATTATTCTGCAAGTTTTTAGTAGCAATCATTTGCACATCTATTGCCATGGGTTCTTCCTTAATATATACAGAGGAGAAATAGTTATTTAAAATTCCTGCCTTTTCCTGGTCTTCATTAACTAACACCCCCGTTTCAGTTTTTAGTGTACCTACACTTTAATTTTTTGGTTTTTTTTAGAATTTATGTACTTAAAGAATGCTTTGGGGTTGGTTTTGCTCTCTTTGGCTATCTTTTTTTATTTTGAAGTTTAGCAAATCTAATCGCCTTTTTGCACGCATTATTGGCTTCCTTATATCTTTTATAGGATGCATCTGATTTGTCTGATTTAAATGCTTTAAATGCCCTTTTCTTATTTTTAATCTCTTGTTTTACTTCTCTACTAAGCCACATTGGTTTTAATGTGTTTCTTTTATATTTATTACCCAGTAGTACATACTGAGAAATGTACCTTTCTAATATTTGTTGGAAGATGATCCATTTATCCTCAGTGTTCTTTTCACTAAAGAGTTTATGCCAGTCAATATATTGTAACGCTGCCCTTAACTTATTGAAATTGGCCTTTTAAAAATTATATGTTTTAGTATACCCCATGTGCTTTTGTTTTTTTGAGTTTATTTCAAAGGACACCATATTGTGATCACTATTTCCCAAGTGCTCACCTACTTGAATGTTGGTCAAAAGATCAACGTTGTTTGTTAAAACCAAGTCCAGACAAGCGTCCATTCTAGTTGGTGCTTGTACAAGTTGTGACATGAAGGTGTAATTTAACAAGTTTAAAAACCTAATTCCCTTTGCTGAGCTACTACTTTTACTTTGTCATTGGTACCAACATGGACCATGACTGCTGGGTCATCCCCAGCCCCTCCCAATAATCTATCCACTCTATCAGACAAACTGTCTGGTTGAGCTGATCAGAGCGGCAGATTGCCCTATCTACTCTCCTAATGATAGAGTCCCCTACCGCCACAACCTGTCTTGCCTTCCTTACATTTTGATCCCCACCCGTAGTAGAGGGGCTGTTACCTCGGCTTTTAGAAGGAACAGCTTCCTCTAATACAGCCACTCTTGAGCTGATGCTCCCAACATCTTCACTCAAACAGGCAAATCTGCTAGGTTGCACTAAATCAGGACTAGCTAGCCCTTTCCTCTTCCCTCCCCCCCGCTTCCTCGCCCCACTGTCACCCAGCTACATGCCTGTTCCCCATCTGTCTTATCTCCTCCCTCTCCACTACCTGTCCCCACTACCCGTCCAGGGTCCATACCTCTGTGACGGTTATGTGCGAGTGGCGGTTTTTTTGGAAGCTCAGATTGGAGATCTGGAGAAGCAAATCGCAACTTTAAAGGGAGATTGACAATCTTGAGAGCAGACTCCTGTCAAGATTGTCAATCTCCCTTTAAAGTTGTGATTTGCTTCTCCAGATCTCCAATCTGAGCTTCCAGAAAAGCCACTCTCACACAACCATCACAGAGGTATGGACCCTGGACGGGTACATCGTTGCATGCATACATGCAACAAGATTTACATTGAGTCAAACCACCAATCTTGCTAACACTCATTTCCCCAGATACAGAACAATAAAACAATTACCTTGTTAGTTTAAACCCCTAGTTAGTTTTAACTCCTGGTTTTCTAACTCCTACTTGAAAGAGTCTACTTAATAGAGTCTGCTTTCAAGTAATGTGAGCAAGCTCAGTGAGTTAGGGGTGTGCCTTTATGGGGATACAAATCCCACACAGGTGCAATTAATGAACACTCCCCCAATTAAGCAAGCAGCAGCACAAAAGAGGGGGAAAAACCAGAACACATGGTTGGGGTTCTCCGGGAAAGCCGTGTAAACTACCTCTTTGGTCAAGTATTTTGAAGGACAAATTGAAAAATTGAATGACACACCATTCGGAACAAAAATATGTGCTTGCCAGTCCAAAGCCCTTACATCAGTGACATGTTTACATGAAACAAAAAAGCATTTGCAATTAAGCAGCTTACTGTTTAAGCGAAAGCTCGTGACTGGAAGGCCAGGCTCTCACCAAATAGTCATACTTTTCCTCTTTCATTAGTTCATGCTCCCGCAATCCCAGGCATATCTTTTACACCTCTAACTCTCTTCTTTGCCCTGCTCTGGCCACCCCCCAAACTAATCTTACAGCTGATAGCTTTGCATGCTACATTACCAACAAGATTGAACAGCTAAGAAAAAGAATTCTCCCCACCTTGCCGTTCTCTTTCCCAAGCACACGTAGATCATCCCTTTCCTACCCTTCAGACTTTCTCCCCGGCTACTGAACAAGAGGGGGCTGCGCTTCTCCTTTCCTCTTGCCCCACCACTTGCCCACTCAATCCTGTCCCATTTCACCTTATCGGATCTCACTCCCTTTGTCCTTAACACACATCATCAACTGCTTTCTCTCTTCTAGCGTTGTTCCTTCTGACCTTAAACATGCCACTGTAGTACCTATCCTGAAAAAAAATCCCTTGACCCGACCTCCCCCTCTAACTATTGTTCCATATCCCTGCTCCATTTTTCCTCAAAGCTTCTGGAAAGACTTGTCTCAATTCCAATTCTCTCCTTGATCTCCTCTTCAATCTGTGTGAGGGGTGCAGTGTGTGTGAAAGGTTCAGTGTGTGTGTGTGAGGGGAGGCTGTAGTGTGTGAATGTGTATGGTAGGTGGTGCAATGTGTGTAAGGGCGGCAGTGTGAGTGTGGGGGGCGATGCCTGTATGGGGGCTGTGTATGTGTGTGGGGGCGGGCAATGTGTGTATGGGGGGCTGTGTATGTGTGTGGGGCAATGTGTGTATGTGGGGCTGTGTGTGGGGCAGTGTGTGTGTATGGGTGGGCAGTGTATGTGTGTGGGGGGCAATGTGTGAATGTGTATGGTGTGTGTGGGGGCAGTGTTTGTATGGGGGCAATGTGTGTGTGTGTCGGGGCAGTGTATGTATGGGGGCAATGTGTGTGTGTGTGTGTGTGGGGGCAGTGTATGTGTGTGTGGGGGAATAGTGTGTATGGGGGGCAATGTGTGTAAATGTGTGGTAAGGAGGGTAGGGGGAAATTTATAATTTTTTTAAGTAAAAATAAAATAAATGTATGTCCCCCCTCCCTTCTTACCTTTACTGAGGGAGGAGGGGGGACATTTTTCGATCCCTGGTGGTCTGTGGGGAATCCAAGGTGGTCCCAGTGGTGAGAGTGAACTCTAGCCCACAGCTCCAGGGCTAGAGTTCACTCTCACAGATCCCTTCCTATGGAATAGCTTGCCTACCGCCATCAGACTCTCCCCTTGTCTTGTATCTTTTAAGAAGTGCCTTAAAACCCATCTCCTTAGGAAAGCTTATGGCCTCCCAGAGTAACCTCTACCTTACATACCAGTCTCTTGCTCTCGCCTAAAGGGCAACACTCTACTCTCTCCTCCAGCTCTGCTTCACTCCCACCTTATTTGATTGCTTTTTCCTGTCCTAATGTGTATACCCCACCTCCTATAGACTGTAAGCTTGTTTGAGAAGGGTCCTCTTCAACCTATCATTCCTGTAAGTTTTCTTGTAATTGTGCCATTTATAGTTAAATCCCACCTTTCATAACATTGTAAAGTGCTGCAGAATTTGTTGGCGCTATAAAAATGGCAATAATAATGTTAAAATAATAATGCTACCCCAAAAAATAAAAATCACGTGAAAAATCACGTTAACATCTAAAAAAGAGGAATATCGAGCTTGAGGAGGTTGAGAAAAATGAATGCCTTTGAGGAGTCAACATTAGGGATGTGCATGGGCAAAGAAATTCGGATCAATTCGGCACTTCCGAAATTCAGGACTTAAGCAAATACTTGAAAAGGAGAGAAATCTCAATGTATCCATCCTGGTAAAATATTTTATAACTATTTCAGGACTTCGGCAATTCAGCACTTCGGTTCGGCACTTTCGAAATTTGGGACTTGGGCACTTCGGTTCCGTTTGGCACTTCCGAAATTCAGGACTTTGGGAATTCAGCACTTCGGGACTTCAGCACATGGGAATTCGGGACTTCAGCAATTCCCTAACCCTAACCCTACCCCTATTCCGTCCCCTAACCCTACCCCTAACCCTACCTCTAACCCTAGCCATACTCCAATTCTAGCCCTAACAAAGACCAGAGTTAGATACTGCAAGACTGCCTTCAGAGGAGCTGATACGGGATCCAACGATCGTCCCACACACCAATCTGCCCACTTTCTCCAAGCCGAATCGTAGGAGCGCCTAGTTAATGGTGCCCATGCCTCGACAGTCCAGGGTCCACGGAAATGAGCCATGCTGCCAGGTGAAGCAGACCCTGGTCGATCAATTTGTGACTCACCCCTTCTGGATTGGTCAGAAGGAAAGGCATGTTCGGTATTATGCGAGGAAAGTCTATCGACATTTCCAATAGATGTGGGAACCAAGGCTGAGATTTCCATAACGGGGTTATCAATACCAGTGTCCCTTTGGAGCATCAAAGAAATGCCAGGGTCCGGGTTATAAGATTGAACAGAGGAAAGGCATAATTCCTTCCCATGGACTAGTCTTGTAGGAATGCGTCTGTCGCCAGTGCCTCTGGGTCCGGTCTCCAGCTGAAGAACCGAGTGAGCTGGGCAAAGAGATCTATGTACAGAGGTCCCCAAAGTCGGGAAAGACATAGAAAAATTGATGGGTGGAGGTGCCAATCCTCTCAGGGGTCTCAGTGATATCGAGAGTTCCAGTCCACTGTAGTATTTTCCTAGCCTGGAATATGTTCCGCAATTACCGATATGTTGTAATGTAGGCAATAATGGCAAAACTCCCGAGCCATAACTGCTAAAATCTTCAACTTCATTCCCCCCAGGTGGTTGATATAACGCACAACTGAGACGTTGTCCAGCTTGAGGAGGATCAAGCAGGAAATGCCAGTGGGAAACATGCTGTGTATGGCGAAGGATGCCACTAGTAGCTCCAGGCAATTGATGTGCAGAAAAGTATCTTCCATGGACCATCTGCCACCGGTAGAAATTGCCCCGCATCACACGCCCCATCTGTGTAAGCTGGCATCCGATTCTATGACAAGATCCAGAGTGGAACCAAAAATCGCCTGTCAGTTCCATGCTTCCATTTGGGCGAGTCACCACGTCAGCTCCTCTCTGGACTCCACGTCTAGGGAAACACAGGTTTCATATGAGTGACCGGAACATAGATATGAAGCTTTGAGCCTCTGTAGAGCTCGATAATGTAGAGGACCTGGAAAAATAGCTTGTATGGACGATGCCAGTAGTCCGACAGTTCTCTAGTTGTCTGAAATTTCTGACCGATTCATCAGATGTCTGATCTCATTTTTTATCTAAGTGATTTTGTCTTTCGGTTTACACAACATCTGCTGAACCGAATCTACTCGGAATCCCAAAAATTCTATGCATTGGGAGAGTAGAAGGACCAACTTCTCCCAATTCACCCAAAAAAATAAATTTTGGAGAAGATGCGTTGTCCAAGACAGGTGAAGACTGTGACTGTGACAGGAGAAGGATGTTGTCTTTAAGCGTACGCCTCGTGTGTGTAGAAAGGCAATAACTGGCTTACGAACTATCGTGAAGCACCAGGGAGCAGAGGAAAGGCCAAATGGGAAACATACAAACCTCCACTTCATTCCTTGTCATTGAAACTGAAGGAAATTCTTATGAACCTCTGTGACCGGTATTGTCAGGTACGCATCTCGTAAATCCAGCTTGACCATCCAATCTGACTGTAACAGGATGTCCTGAAGGCAATGAATACTCGCCATCTTAAAATGGTGGTATTGGACGAATGCATTTAGAGGGCAAAAAAAAGGGATAGAGGCAGCACTCGCAGAGCACATAAATAATACAGATAACCAAATAAGAAATAAAAATACTGGGGGGCGGAGCCTAACTGTCAATGGAGTAAGACGTGTGTTGCCTCAGCTCTCTCACCCCGGGCACAAAATCCGCATCCATCAGCCTCCACTAAGGTGCCAAAACGCGACGAAACTACCCACAGACAACGACCACACTCACCCACATGGGGGGCTCTAAAAAGAAAAGGGAGTTAACCCCATCAGTAGCCACGATGTTCCGAACAAAAGAAGACAGGCAGCCATCTTGGGCCCGAAGCCAAGAAAACTCCGGCGCAGAATCGGAAGAGAGCGAGCACGAGAGCACCCACGCGTCACCCTTAACTCAAGAAGTCCTTCGAAAAATGCTGAAGGAAACTTCGGCAGACATCAAGGCCTATACCACAGCAGCCCTTGAAAAACAAATAGCAGGCCTCAAAAGTGACATCGAGGCGCTGGCCTCACGCACCGGCGACACCGAACGCACGCTTCAAGAAATACAAACAAAGGCGGCGGACCATGGCAGGGACATGGGGATACTAAAAGACAGAATCCTATTTCTGGAGGACGGAATGGAAGACCTAAATAATAGATCCCGGCGGCAAAACATACGCATAAGAGGCCTAGCAGAATCTGTCATGCCGGAGGCTATACTCCCTACCATTACAGCAATATTCCAGTCCCTGCTGCCGGACAACCCAGGGCAAACCATCTATATCGAAAGGGCCCACAGGGCACTGAGACCCCCCTTCCCCAACACAAATACACCAAGGGACGTTATCGTTAAATTGCTACACTTCCCGGTAAAAGAGCAGCTCATGAAGGCAGCCAGAGATCGTCCTCCAGTCTACCAGGGGCAACAGCTTCAATTCTACCAGGACTTGGCCCCCTCAACACTAAGAAAACGGCGGGAGCTGAAGCCCCTAACTACAGCTCTACTTGAGGCCGGCTGGCGCTACACCTGGGGGCACCCCTTCCGCATAACGGTTAAAAAAGGGGACCAAACTTACTCCCTTCACCAAGTCTCAGATATGCGAGACTTCGCAACTCACCTGGGGATACAACTGCGGTGCCCGACGGCGGACCCTCAACTCACCATCAACGAAAGCTCAGGCCGCCGAAATGATTCCCGCGCAAACATGGCGCGCACGCAGCCGAAGAAGAAAGCCTCGACGGCCTCGCAAGAGCACCCACACGGACACCTGAACGGTAGCGCTCGATGCGCACAGGACACTACCTTACACCAAGTCCGAATTGTGGCATTTACGCCAAAACCGGGCTCACGGACGTTACAATCACGGCACAGCCGGTAGTATATTTATATTTATATGTTGTTATATGATGTTATGCCCCAATAGGGGGTTAATGAATGGTTAATGTTTATGCCAGACCAAGGCAGTAAGTTTACCACTACAGGGAACACATAAGGCTCGGGGGGATGGGGGGGAGGGGGGCACCATCCTAACAAAACGCGGACCACACCCCCTTAGGGGGCCATTAAGGGAAAGGACCCCCACAATGTGACCAAAGCACTTACACCCTAAAAGAATAGCCGGATAGCCGGAAACATGCACCTCTAAAATGAAGTCACACTGACAGGCAACAGCCAAGGCAAAAAGTTGCAAGGCGCACAAACGAAGGGTACACCCTTCAAGCTATGAGACCAGCACCCGCAAAATGCAGGGTAAACAACCTCCCTAAACCTAGCACCAAAAATTAACCGCAACAATGGACACCAGCAGCAACCCCACATCAAGTACAAGATGCGCAGACTACCGAGAACAGTTAGCCCACACATTATGCTCTATCGTACTGACAAGTAACCCAGAGACAGATAGACTGAACAAAGTTCACATAGATTACACCTGAGACTCAGGGGGCACTGAACCCTACAAACAAGGGAACGCTGGGTATCGGGCAGAGGGCACGGAACACAAGGTACCACCAACTCCCTCTAAATACCCACCCGAAGCTCGGATCCCCATAACACATCACAGAATAGCGGGGGCCACAACACAGACACTAGCAGGAAACCCAGATCACATACTAGAGTTTAAACTCAGGCCCTGCAAACGGCACCCGCAAACAACCACCGATGCTCGGAGGGTCTCAAGCCCTAAAGGCAGAAAAGGGAGGGGGCCCAACAGCCAAATACAACGTCAGGAAACCTCACACTACACCAACCAGAGTTTAAGACCCAAGATTACTCTCCCAAAAAGAAAACAAGGGGTAACTGAGAAAGGCACGAAAAACCCCACTAAACAGAGAAAACCCCCCAAAAAACAACTAAACCCGGAATACAACACACACACACAACATATCCGGGGAAAACAGGGGCCAGACAGAGAGGGGACAAGGGGATCCGTCGAAAGTCTCTAGCACACACTGAGCAAGACCCCCCACCGCAACCCGTACCGAACTAACACACCCACCCTGGGCACACGATGCAAGGCCACCACGAGCCAAGGTTACAGTTGAAGTTTATGGATTATTGATAACATGTTGTTTATTTCTGTTAAAGTTATGACACAAGTGTCACACCACCTCCCCAAAAGGACCCTGGTAGCCTGATGACAGAACACCAACCCACATATTGGACCTCAAAGGCCGACAGACGCGGACAGGTCAGTCAACAATATACACCAGCCTCGACCACAAACACGCCACAATGCACGCAAACACACAAGCATCATATTGCCGCAATACAACCACACACAAGGCGAACAACACCCACAGAACGAAGACAAACACCGAATTCTACCAAGAACAAAACCCCACACTCGGACACTAACATAACAGACATCACACTGGACATCTCAGCAGCACACCAACAAACGCAAAAACCCCAGATATACACTAAGCATACAAACTCTAGAAACGACCTGGCAACAACACAGAGCAAAACCACATAAAACCCCTCCAAAAGCGCTGCACCCTCGGAGTAGACACCAGACACCCGGGGTAGAGGAGAGAGCGTCACACAGTCACTCTTCTATCCCCCCAACAAACTCCATCGACCACATACCACTACCCACATTCGAAACACACCAAAACATATAAGCACCCACACTCTAACACACACTAAATTCGCCCACCCTCGAACGTGACTCACACCGCCCACCAGACGCCTGGCAACTGACCGGTAAGACCAGGCCCCACCTGACACTCCCACTTACCAGTTCTACTGGTACAACTCAGTCCAAACCACATACACACCTCCTCACAACAGCACTTCACACCACCACCCCACCCCAATCCCCCCAACCTACCCACAACCCCCCCACACACCACAGACTAACGCAACCGCAGACAAGAAGGCAAAGTGCACTCAAAGGCTCGCGCCACACCAACTGGCATGCCAGCCACTCTGACCTGCCTATCAATCAACTGCAAAGGCCTGAACAGCCCCGCAAAAAGACACCAGCTTATGAGATGGGCAAATAGAACTAAAGCAGACGTACTCCTCTTACAGGAAACACACTTCACGCAAACCAAACAGTTCCCTCTCCTGAGCCGACACTATAGAGTAAACCACTTCGCCAGCTCTCCACAAGAGAAACATAACGGGGTAGCCATCGTTCTACGGAAATCATGCCCCCTCTCCATACAACGGACGGTAGCGGACCCACAAGGCCGATTCCTCACAGTCGCAGGCAAGATAGGCACACGCTCCTACGCTATCACTACTCTGTACGCACCAAATACCCCAAGTGGCTCATTCTGGCAGACAATACAAGCACACCTAGCTCTCTTTCCCTCCCACCACTCCATAATAGGCGGCGACTTTAACGCTACCCCATCACCCACGGTAGACAGACGCCGTTCGCAGCCAGATAGGCAACGAAGACAACCAACAGCAAAAGCAGATAAACTCTTTTCGGCCGTCATCTCCCGCACACGCCTCATAGATGCATGGAGAGCCCAGAACCCCACAACCCTAGACTACACCTTCTTTTCACACCCACACCAATCACACTCCCGTATAGATCTTTTCCTCACATCACCATCACTGGCGCCTATGACTAAAAACACATCAATAGGCCCCATCACATGGTCGGACCATGCTGAGATAACACTGACCATTAACCTGTCAGGAACGGCGAGACCCTGGACATGGCGCCTAAACCCACACCTCCTACACAACCCACTAATCAAACAAACGATTGACAAATCCATAACAGACTACTTCCAAATCAACAAAGGCACAGCAACCTCCGAAGGGAATCTATGGGCAGCACACAAAGCGGTAATCAGGGGAGCCTTAATCAATCAAGCAACGATACACAAAAAGAAGCAGGTGGCCCTCCTCGAACAAACACTGCAGACCCTAAGAACCCTGGAGGCAAAACATAAAATAGCACCAACACAAGAGCTCAATGAGCAAATCTTGACATGCCAAAACAAGATTAAAGAACACATGGCAAAAGATTCAACCAAAGCATTACTCTGGACAAAACAGCTATACTACGACAAGGCTAACAAAGCTGACACGCTACTTGCCCGCAGACTCAAACAGAGAAGCGAAAATAAACGGATACACAAAATAACCACCCCGAGAGGGGAAACCACAGAAGATCCAGAGAGAATAGCCAGAGTCTTTCAAGACTACTTCAGTACCCTATACGACCACACCCCTGAAACACGACAACACCCAATGTCAACCAAAACACTAATAGACCATTACCTAACTCAAATCCCATTGCCTTCCCTATCCACAGAAGCAGCACAGGTCCTTGCCAGCCCCATAACACCAGAAGAACTCGCAGGACAGATAAAAGCACTCAAACCCAACAAAAGCCCGGGCCCAGACGGGTTCACAGGGCTATACTATAAGACATTCGCCCCCATCTTGATCCCACACCTCTGCACACTATACAACGCCATACTACAGGGAGACCAACTACCGAACGACATGCTACAAGCGAATGTATGCCTCCTCCCCAAGCCCAACAAAACAAACCTTGAACCCGGACACTATCGTCCTATCTCACTCCTCAATGTAGATATTAAATTATTCACTAAAACCCTAGCGGACCGACTAAGCCCCAACCTACCCAAACTCATACATCCAGACCAAGTGGGCTTCATACCGTCACGACAGGCGAGTGATAACACAAGACGTACATACAACCTCATTTGGACAGCCCACACGAGACGCATCCCAACTCTCTTCCTATCATTGGACGCCGAAAAGGCATTTGACAGACTGTTATGGCCCTTCCTATTCGCCACCCTAGAGAAATTCGGATTCCCGCGAAGCTTTATAAACGCCCTACAGATACTTTACACCACACCACAAGCACATCTCCTCCTCCCTCTCACACACCCCCCGACCTTCACAATCCATAACGGTACACGCCAGGGATGTCCACTTTCCCCAGTACTCTTCGCACTGTCCCTAGAACCACTCCTACAATCTCTCAGACTCAACAGGGACATAAAAGGAATGAAAATACGTGAAGAAGAATATAAAACAGCGGCATACGCAGACGACTTGCTCCTTACAATTACAGAACCAGCAACATCCCTACCACCACTCCTAGACGCCTTAAAAGCATACGCCGAAGTCTCGGGATACAAGCTCAACATCGACAAAACGGAGGCCCTCCCGATACACATAGACACAACCACCAAAATAGCTATACAGGACATATACCCATTCGACCTCACACTCACCCACCTAAAATATCTGGGCATAACCATCCCAGCAGACCTCTCCCAATGCTACGACCTGAACTACACACCCACGATCCAAAAAATCACCCACGATATCGAAAGATGGCAAAACATGCCGATATCATGGCTTGGCCGGCTGGCATCCGTTAAGATGAATGCCTTGCCGCGACTTTTATACCTGTTCCAGACCCTCCCAATCCCGATACGCGCCACAGACTTTAAACAGCTGCAAACCAAGATTGATAAATTTATATGGGCCAACAGGCGTGCCAGGATAAAAAGACAAACCCTATACGTACCCAATAAACAAGGGGGGTTAGGCCTACCACACCTCACCCACTACTATCAGGCCGCACAGCTAACACAAGCGCAGAATTGGCACATCATACCAGGGGCCAAAAGATGGGTCGACCTGGAGCATGATATATTTGGCAGGGATTTCCCCTCCATGTACATATGGCTACCTGGCACAGCGAGGCCCCCCCTACCCCAAACATCCCCCGCAATCCTAAACACCATCAAGGTATGGGATAAAATAACACACAAAAGCGGGCTTACAACCCAACCATCACCGCTAACCCCCATACTCCGGAACACACAATTCCCACCAGGCATGACGCCCAAAGATTTCACGCGC